CCTGAGGTAGTTGTGGCGCAGGGCTCCTCTGATCCCTCACTGACGGAACCGTATGAAATGCAACAAGATCAGTCACGCTTTATGAAGGACTATTCAGATCATTCTCTAAGCACTGAACGCCACGCTGGCCAGACGAGCGCGGTAGCCAAGACCGTATCTGAGTCGGTACAATTCCCTCTACCTCAGCCACCACCGCCGAGCAGCGCGATAGTTACTCATTTCTAAATGTAATGACCAATATGATTCAGTTACCACACCAAGGGTCAGGGATTGGTTCTACTGAGAAGCACCGTAAAAAGCGAGGCTACGCATGTATGCCTCCTGGTTCTTATTCAGAAAATGCCCTCTTGGACCGTGCGAATTCTGGAATATCTGAAAACGGTGCAACGCCACCCTTCGACATGGGTGATGAAACATCCGATGATAATAGCCGGGACCTGGACTATTTATCACAATCAGTTACTACCAATAACAAAGACAGAGAGATTGATCCGGATCCGCTTCCATCCAATGATACATCTGACACAGGATCTATCGATCAATCGTCTGCAGCATTGTTCAAAGAATGGCTACTGAAAGACGTGCTACTTAAGCGCGTAGGGGTGGGCGGTGTAACGACCTTTCAATTGCAATTTTTGTGGGAGCCAGGGAGTACGACCAAGCGGTATAAAGCGGGACAAAGGGTCGCAGCTGCGCGAAGGAAATCTCGAAGGTTTTCAAGAGCCAAAGAAGAACTATTCATTCAACTGAAAGACGTAGAGCGGCTACCATGAGAGGACTTCTACAATGGATTCACGAGTCGTTTTCCAGGACAAAGTAAGGCATCTCTTCAGGTTCGTTATTCTACAAAGTTAAAGAACAGGTTAGGCGGGGTGCAATCGCTGGAATAGTGCAGAAGCGGCAGAGGGCGCTGCACGTATCAAGCTGTGACTGGCTCAGTGCCAAGTAGGCAGTATCTAGGTAAAGAAACAGCAGCAAGGTGGTCATGGATTGCAGGGAAATTTGGAACGAAGCGAAGCAGCAGAAACATATTCTTTTAACAGAAGAAGCCTGGTAGACAAGACGGCAATCCATGTATGCAATCAAGGTAAATTTCTATAGCAAAATGCACAAAGGCTTCGGCACAACATGACACTGAGACATCGAACTGCGAGAACGAAGTGACTATTAAAGGTAACAAAATAGTCGCTTCACCGTATCTAGACCCCCCTGAAAACGACCGGACTGTGGCTGTATGTACATCAGCAATATTGCCCATCTCACCACCCCCGAGCAAGATAACCTGTCTCAGCCTTCCCACAAGTCGCCCTCTCATCCCTTACATCAGGGGTTTGAATCGCCAAACATTGCCTCTGAAATCCATTTAAGGCCGAGAGAGTCCGCGCACACCTTCTGCTATAGATTATGACCAGGAGCCTAATTTATCTACTTGCAGGTGGCACCTATTGACATCTGTTAGCAGTAGAGCCCTGTCAATTTCGGCTAGGAAACGCGGCCAGCCACATTTATGTGTCCTTTAGTGATACTTTAATCCTTAGAGAACAAGCTTACTTCGATGCGCTTTAACTGTCAAGTCATAATCCAAGCTAATAAGAAAGAGGTGATTAAAGCCAATCATAATTATAAAATTCGACACCAAGAATCAGGTCTTGCGCCTAGGAAAATATATTAGTTTCGGTAGGCGATTTTCAATCCTAGAATAGGGCCGCCACATAGAGCAGGCAGTGCTTGATTAAGTAGGTGGTGTCTCATTGTAAGCCAGATGAGGTAGGCGGTGTAAATACGCTTTGATCCTGCTTGTGATTTAATTCCCTCACCGCCTGTCCATCCCCTTACCGTCAGCTGAATTGGTACCCCTCGCCTACGATTCTGATAATGTAGCACCGCCTGCTTGGTGCGGTACCGCTTTTCTGATGCAACACCGCTTGCTCGATGCGTCACCACCTGCTCGATGCGTCACTGCCTGCTCGGTATCACACCGCCTGCTTAATGTGGTTCCCTAATACATACTTTGAATGCCGGAAGCCATCGCAATACCAAATTGCGTGGAGGGGCATGCATCTGGCATAAGGTATTTTCGTTGGCGCCCTCACAATCCACTGGAGCTATAACCTTAGGCCCCAAATGCCCTTTGGCCCTCACCATGGTAGTCTCGACCAATCAGAGCTCGGGAACTTGATGACTCATGCTCACTACGGGGCAGCAAGCCTTTTTGATCTGCGGTCGTTCCATCATCATCCCACCCAACCTTTATCCAGCAGCCTCCCTTCTACTACGGCCTGGCACCGCGCGCGCGTGACAAACACAGTTACTCTTCTCCCAATCCGACTGAACCTCTAACAACACAGTCAACTCGCAACTGTCATGGCGGCCGCTCTGCCCCGACGCTCAAAACGTATTTGTAGTGGCAAAAACCACCCGGTCGGTACCATTTCCAAGCACAAGCTGAAGAAGACCTCTTTTACCCAATATCGACATACCCCCAATCGTGACTGGCCTATAACCAAGCTGCTAGGCTTTCGCGAGACCAGGGACGGCGTTGAATACCTGGTTGACTAGGAGGGCCTGTAACATCTCACCCCCCCCTGCGGACCACCCCCCCACGGACCACTCCACACCACACCACTCTCATTCAGATGAAGCCATCTACAACCACCACAGTTGCTAAATACACTAAGGTCGTGGTGTTCTAACCATAATACAGCTCCTAGAATCCGATTCCGACCCTAAATCTTCACTAGGGACCTCTTGTGGGACCTCTTCGCCTGCAGCGGAGTCCCTATAGACCCTCCTGTTCCTCAGCTCCATTTTGGCCTCCCTTATGTTAGCCATTGTGACAAATCGTTCCCCTAGTGTTGGTTTGACTGCTTTTTGAGTGGTATTAGCCTTTTTAGCCACTTGAGCCTCAAGCAGCTCACATTTGGCCCGTAGATTTGTAATGGTAGCAGCCTGAATATCCATAGCCTTGCCAGCCTTCCGCACCAACAAGCGCTCAGAGGGCCCCCCAAAGGAAGGGTCCTTTCTTTCGAGCTTTCGAACACTCTCCCGCAAAGCCTGGCTTCCAGAGGGTGTTGTGACAATGGTTTTAGCTACCATCTCGAGAAAATCTGGTGTTGTGGCTTGCTCGGAAGCCTTAGGGTCCCTCTGGCGTGCCCTGGCCACCCCCTTGTCCTCCAGAATCATATATTTCGACTTCAACGCCTCCGCTCTGTTGCGAGGAACAATCCCAGTCTTTTTCCAGGCAATTCTGATGTTGAGGAGCGTCATTGTGTCCTTCCAGGCCTGTTTGTAGTACTCCAAAACCTCCTCCTTAGATGGCCTGAGTCCCAGACGGCCGCTGGGCGTCTCCTGGAGTAAGGTCTTCAACCTCTTCTTCACCAAATTGGAGACTCCCACATCTAATACCTGGACTACATGGGAGCAGTGAGGTTCATAAAAGATCAACCATACTTTGTTTCTCAAGCAGGTGGCTAGGAACTCGTCATTCGTGTGGGAGTCGTGGCCATCACACACCAAAACCACCCATGTGTTGCCGTGGACCTCCCAAATATGAGGAATAAAGATACGTTGAAGCCATTCTAACGCAATGGATTCGAGGTCCATCCATTGGGTGACGTAATAAACCTCCAGTTGGTGAATTTGTCCTCGTTTTGGTTGCTAAATCACTGGGCTTGTACGTTAACCCCCTTGAGAATCACCAGCGGCGGCAAGGTCTCACCAGATCCGTTCACACACTCTAGGGCAGTTATCCATTCACCCTTCTCGACCCCTTTCTTCATAGCCACGTTGCCGGAGGCCTCGGAGACCACCCAATGGGAGTCCCCAACCCCCTGGGCGATTCCCATTTTGTCGACGTTGTACCAGCGTGCTGGCATGAGGTTAACCACGTCAGGGGCGTCACACCGATCGAAAAAAATATTGATATTTGCCGCTGTAGTACCATTCACTCGGTTGTAGTCGATAACACGAGACTTCATTATCTTGACTTCCGGGTTTCGAGACAGGAACTTGGATGCCCAATTTTTCCCTAATTCTCGAGCATCCCCGGTGGCATGGAGCATCCGCTGGGCCATGAGACGGAACTTAGAGACCGCCGGAGAATACCCTAGCCGTGCTTGCCCCAGGGCCCAGCTTGCCAGCTTATGTTCGAGATACGGTGAGAGAGCCTGTTAGAGAGCGCTGGTCTCATTCCGCGTTGGGGTGCCAGAGATTCGTCGGTTGACGTACGAGCGACTGATTTGCCATTCAAGGGCTGACGAGCGGACTGGAGCTCCGCGTTGGATGGCCAAAATGACGGCTTCAGCTTTTATTTGACAGTCGTAAAATGACATCATGAGATTCAGCAGTGGATAAGGATTCAAATAGTGTGCTTTGTGAAAAAAAAGATGCAAAAGTGATGGTGTAGATGGTGGATCACCATAATCCTGGTGGTTGGTGAATTACGCGTTTGTGGGTCAGAACGCGCTGGTCCGCGGGGGGGTGGTCCGCAGGGGGGTGGGAGATGTTATTGTGATGCCAGGAGGCTATTGTGAGGGGCGGAAATACTGATGTGTAGGTCTGGGATTCACTGCTATTGAGCCAGAAGTAGGGGTAAATATCCTTGCTTGTACTAGGGCTATGATTGTCGCGCTGTTGTCATAAAGGGTTTCGATATCCACCTTGCTCTTTTGCCCCTATTTCGTCCGTCCACCTGGATGCGGTATAAGGTTTCAGCGACAAACCCAAGCCATCAAGGCACTGGTTCAGTTCGACGATCCTCTTCGAGTGTCCCCTTGTCCGTCTCCGGGACGGGGCTGATGTCGATATGCCACTGCTTGATGGGCCGTTTGGGACGATCGAACCATATCTATCAGATTTGATTGTGATCAGATCAGAGAAGGCGGAAAGGGGCGTGGAAGACCTGTGATGACCTAAGTTGGCAGCAGCCGGTACCAAACCCAAAGAACCCGAACAATGGGCTCGCGACCTGATACCTTGTGGTAAAGGGGAGGCAGCCCGTCATGCGGGGAATCGCAAACTTCCTCTCCTTCTTCTCAATTTCACTCGTTTTCAACCTTCTGTCCTCGACTACTTCGTTTTTTACGACACGACAAACTGCAATCGACCACTTTCGACCCACGGGAGTTTGACTGCTAAGCAGGCCCAGATCGAGTCAAGGCTCGACTGGCTGCTCTCACCGAGACAAGGTGATAACGACAACGAAGGATGGTTGGACTACTACTGCGACTTTGAGCTCTATGCAGGTTCTGGTCCTGCCAAAGGCGTGGTCTGTAACGACAAACGCATCAGCGAGGCTTTGCCCGCTGACGAGGTCGACGAGCCAAAGGACTGCAGTCTAGATCTCAATGTCCCTGCCAGCTTGATCCAGACGGTCTCCGAGCTCTCGAGCCGACATCATCTCAAACCGAGGCTCGTCACGACGATCGTCAGGTTGGTGCCATACCGTCTAAAATTGAACATCACTTCGGTATCTCTACGCCCATGCCTTGTGTTGACCAAAATGACCCGAAGACTGCGTCATCCTCTACCCTACCAAAAGTTACGACTGCGCCTCTTTGCGGCGTTCATCACGACACCTATGCCGAAACCACTCCGCCCGCGCCCAAATCCTTGGAAACCCTGCAAATACGCCATGAACAAGGGGGACTCGGCCGCTGTTCCACTTGTCGTACCACACCTGGGGTCACTGGGGGTGTCAGTGTCAATACCTTTAAGGGAAACGCCACAGTTACTGTCGATCTTCGCCCTGCCGAACTAATCGATCTTACCTTTTCTGCTTCGGACTTAGGGAATAAGACCCTGCGAAGAAAATCGGAAAGACCTCTCTCAAAGCATGGCAATCGACAGGCCAAGAGGGCAAGATATCGCAGAAACTGCATGAACCTACGGGCTCAAAGGGTTGTGTTGTGTTTCGAGGATGAAGAGGAGCCATACAAATGGGATCACCGGGCCAAGGTGTGGAAACGGTTGGATGGAATTGGGCATGCAGAGCATCGAACAGTGAAGGAGTTCCTGAGCGAGAATATGCGACCGTTCCTGGGCGTGTCTGTGCGGGCTAATGGAGAGGGTTGGGTAGTTGAACTGACGTGGAACCAGGAAAAGGAATGTTTTGGGGTAAGGATCCGCTGAGCATCTCTAAGCCTCTTCGGGTCGACCTTGCGAAAATGACGAAAATACTTTCCTCGCCCGGTCGAAGCTGGGAGGTGAAGGAAGGGAATCACAACGCTTCATAGTGTATTTTACGAGTCGCATGGTCCACCATGTTGGAAGGCTATACAGGGTTTGTGTTCTAGGGTACGTTACCTCTCGGCGCGATAGAGGCTCTTGTCCACTAAGGGGCGCTCATGAGATCTTTCGCACCTTATTGTTTTTGGATTATGATCCATCCTAAGAGCTCCTAACTACTATAGCCTGTTCTCTGCCTGCTTGGTTCTGCTCACTGGTCTCCAGTGGTCATCTTGTGTTGTCACGTGGTGTTTCGCCACGCTACCTTTGGCCCATTGCTCTTCGATCCTCGTGTCCTACCATGTAATCGCCCTTGGCTGGGGAGTTGGTCTTTGTCCATTTTCCGTTTTCGGCTGGTAACATGCATTGGTCTTGAAACCCTGTGGGAAATAGTAACATAATGAGTTTCGAGTGTCTAGGAAGCCTTAACGGTCAGCTAGTTTTTGTTCTTAAGGCCGCTATCTGACTATCTCCAAGGGTAGAGAGCGAGATGAAGGAGCCGGCTTGTGCGCCACGACTTCACGCGACCATTCGAGCTCGATGAAGACCCCAAGAAACAGGACAGCCTGACGACATGGATTGAATATCTCGGCTACGAATACTGGTGGCTTGACAAGTACATGCGCGATATCCAACGCCTGGAGCCAGAGCATGACAAGCTGTGGCAACAGCTCATCGATGAAAAAATGACGCAACCTCACGAGACGAGAGAGTCTGTGCGGACGATGGCATCAGCGATGCAAGACCAAAATGAGTACGATCGGGCACGGGAGGCCGTACAGAAGGCTGAATCGGAAGGGAGACGAATCTACAAGTTGACTCAGGAGGACCCTGAACGTTTGCGTATTCCCACGGCAAAGCGAAAATCGATGATGAGAATAGCTACAGAGAAACTGCTTGCTGCAAAGCGACGATTCGAGCAGATCCAGGTCCGAGAGCGACGAAGGACGGTATTCATAAGGGGCACATTCGACTACGTGGATACGAAAGGATATGCTGCCCGTCACCGTGTTCGTTTGCAATGGATTCTGGAACAAATTGCACTGATTGACGCTGAGATGAACCCATTCAGCCCAGACCGACGTGGACCCGACGGAAGGAGAGCGACGAAGAGGAGGCTCACCGTCGATCAAGAGCCTCCCGAGAGACGAAACCCGAAGAGGGTGAGGCTAGCCAGCACAAGGGCTCGATCAAAAGCCAGAACAGCGCAGCAGCCAGATCCCAGCATGGCAATGGATCGAGGAGCAACTAAAGGTTGCCGGCTGTTCTTACCAAGCTGACGCCCAGGCAATGTTGCAGCCAGCTTGATTGTAGCCGGGTCATAGGGAAATCCTCCCAAGTTTGTACAGAGTCTGGTCGGAGGGCGTGTTTGGGCTGCTTGATGGGCTGTTTGATCAGCATTGCTGAGAGGCAAGGTCGATGTTCAAGCCGGGAGAGGTTGGGATCGGTGTTGGGGCATAGCAGTTTGGTGTTGGGGGACTTACATGCTCGATGACCGCGGAGCTGGCATACGCGCGACTCTCTGCTCTGTTTGGTTGTTCAACGGGCCGCGGAACTGCGTAGTGTGTGTGAATGGAGACTATCCCGTGATGCTCGAAATATGGCTCTAGACAGCGGCTGGTGCATTCTTCAGCCTTCACAGCCATCTCCAGAACGTTGGGAATCACGCAGCCAGTCAATGGCGCTCGATACCAAGCGGTCCCGGGCCTGAAGGGAGCTGCGAAGAAGGCGATGCAGACTAGAGTATTGTCTGTCGGATCTCCATTAGGCTTTCCCGACCACGCTGATATAGAGACTCCATCGCTGTCAGAGTACATACACCACGGCAATGGCCTAGTCCGGGCCGTCCTCCTCGTCAACGCTAAATACGTCTGGCCCAAGGACCAGCCGACGACACCTACACTTCCGCAAATCACTCTCAACGCCCTCCGACACGACGTGACACAGCACGGCTCTCTTGGCCCTGTTGACCACTTCATGCGCGACGTGCAAATCCATCCTGTCATCTCCACTGCCACTGCCACTGACGCTCACGTCAACCTTACGCTTCGCGACCTCCACGATAGCCTCAGCGCCGACGTCCCGGTCACGCTGCAATGCAGCAAATTCCGGCGTATATTCCGGAAGCATTACGCCAGCATGCGCTATACAGGCCCGAACCCGAAGAAGCGCTCTAGGGTCACGGACGACCATCGGGCATGGGAAGAGGATAAGCGGGAAAGGGAGAGGGCGAACAAAAGGATGATGGGGCTAGGGGACGGATCGGTGGGCTTAGAAGACGAGTAAGGGCTTCCGCCTTCACTCGCGCCGGCGTCTTCGTCACTTGCGGCGCAGCGTCCCACGGGGCTTGAGGTGCGAGCGCAGCCTACGGACGACCTTCGGGCATGGGATCAGGATGAAAGGGAAAGAGCGCGGAACCGGTCGCGGGACTTGGGGGTTTGCGGGACCTGCGGGCTGTTCGAAGGCGTTCATCCCAGCGTCGGCGCCGATGTGCCTATCAAACTGCGGCACACCGGTGCACGATGACAGGGGAGCGCGCGAGGCTTACAGACGACTTCAACGACCGGAAGACGAGAAGGGCGAGAGGAGATACTCGCAAAAGACGGGTTGGTGGGCTTTGAAGCCGAGTGGGGGATTTCACCGCATTTTCCACTGGCTCCTACAGCCTCTGTAGGCCCTAGGGTTGGAATAGTCTTTCTTGCCTGGTTTTAAGATCATCACCACCTCGGCTACTTTGAATGTTTTAAGGTGGTGTCCGATCTGTATACAGGTCTGGAAAAGCGCTCTGACGTTGGGACTGAATTTTGAGCAGCACGTAAGACGAGCCTGGCGTCCCTGCTTGGGGTTTCCTAGCTTCCGACATAAACGTGAATTAGTGGTTATGAGTGATTCATAGGGGTGGGTACAATATGCGCTGTCATGTCCAATGGTGGTGGGGTTGTGTGATTACATACGCCGTTATAATATTGAGTGGGTGTGATGAACTCTCATTTAGCCGGCTTTACATACTGATGCATGCATAGATTTGCGTCTGGGTGCACTAACGAACTATTCAGCCACCCATTCTACCAAATGGTTCCTGCCTCCGCGCCATGATAGAATCGGATGCCTGGACCATCGTCCAAAGTTGGATCATCAACGGCTGCCAGCAATGACCATCCACGGGCCATCGCGTGCGAACCAAAGTTGCCAGTCATGCCCGCGCACCTGTATCAGGGGGAGCGTGATGACAGATTCCATTTCCAGTGCGTCATCGCCTACATCGCCACCAGCCAGCGCCGATAGTTACCTCAGCCGCTCTAAGGAGGCCGCGGCCCAGATGGTCAGCTGGACGAGAGGGTCGGACGCGGCGTTGGCCACCTTGGTCTCGATAACCTACGCTTACAGGGTTATTGAGAGAGAACGTGGAGGTAAAACTACATACTGGCAACTGGCAACTGGCAGGACAGGTTAATTAATAGCTTTAGACGCCGCGGTCGAGACGTGTCGGATGCAAGATGGGTCAGCCTTCACGCCTAAAAGCGACGAGGTTTAGATCTGGATGCCAATCAACATACATCACTACGCTTGGATGTCGGTAAACGTCCATGCGGGCTGCGTGGCGGGCCAAAAGAAACTTTGATTGATTGGTTTGATTGATTTTATTTATCGTGGGTGCAGTCCCTCAACACGGCAAACCACACTTCCCAGAGGCATTGCATCGCAAGGTTGTGGAGGTGTCAATCTACATACATTCAGATCCACGAGCCTATCCTCGTTGTAGCGGTACCAATCTGGAGTGTCCAGATGGTTTTAGTCAATACCCAAGCACGATTCCGTCAGAAAAACCTCCTATCCAGTGACTAAGCGACCCAGTGAACCTCAGTCCTCTGGTGTACACATCGTTCCAGTAGCCGTTCGATATATGTCGCATTGGTGGGTGAAGTAGGTGTTTGTTATCTGCTAACGAGGAAAACCACAAGGGGAAAAACCTCGCAGGAGTGGGTATTGTGGAGACAAGCTGCTTGGCTATCGGGTTCTGCGATAATTGGGCCTCTCCATTGTCGTGTGTTGGTTATTGACTCGCACAAGCCGGGTCAGAAGGGGGCCATAGTAGGATTCGAACCCACTTGTTCTCGTCGCCCACCGCACAAACGAGAACACAACCAGGCGCATTAGACCATTGCGCCACACAGCCCATTTTACTGCGATAGTATCGTGCTTTCCGTACCTATTTCTAAGACCTGTTGGAGATTTTTACGTCAGATGTGTGAAATCGTCCCCGGATAGGTTTAGTCGGATATGCATCCACCCCCTCTCCCCAGGTCCGACATAGATCCGCCGTGGATAAGTCCGAAGATCACCCGCTAGCATTTGCTCAGACAAGACACATGTTCGGGGGACGCTTGCAAAGTCTCCGATTCAGCAGTCCTTCGCCAGACAGCTTCACCAACGCTGGTCAGGAATGCTGCATCACAGGCCAAGTGAAGCAAGATGGCTCGTCCGTGGAACGGCCAGACGGCTCTCAGCGCAACTTTTTTCTTTGCACTTCAGGCCATCATCCGGCGTGTATGGGTCTGTTGCGCATGTTCCGTTGCCTGAGGGCTGGCGGGGCTGGAGCGGTCCCGCCGCGATCGCGATGGGCAGGGCCATGGCGGCCAGGGTCATGGTTGACATGCGCATGGTTGCTCTGGTCTATATAAGATGTTTAGCCAGCGGACTGCACGTTGGTCAAGAAGCGAGGATACTTACGACCGGCTGGGTCGACTGCTTTGGGAGAAGAGGCTGGATGAGTTACCGGGACCGAGGGTTTAGGTCGGAGGGGTGGGATGGATTTGAATAGGTCAGCAAGGAATCAAGAGTGAGGAAATACAAGGACATGGCCCATGGCAATTACATGTGTCTTTATATTCTATTGCGCCGCTTCTTTATTGATTGAAGGATTCAAGCTTACGGCACAGCCTTGCGGTGCAACCACCGCTCGGTGGGCCAGCTGATGTTGAACCTTGCGCGATGCATACTCAAACGAGTATAGCCGCAACCATACGAGCAAGTCAGATGTTGGGGGCCTGCCTTGTATTGGGTACTTGGCTATGCAGCCCTGACCGCCTGGCCATTGGCATGGCGCAAAGAAAGGTCGTGTTTGAGTCACATGTAAGCGAAACCAATCAAGGAAGAATGCGCTCAAATTAACCAGTGGTATCTCGTGACAAGTGCATTTGCTTCCCCTAATCCCCAGTCCGACAAGTTACGTGAGTCCTGTCCTTCGAAAGCCATCACGTGGTCTTCCCGACTGGCTCGCCCAGGAACCAAGACAAGACTGTGAGAGTCTCTCCCCAGCACGCATCCGTTCCCCGATCGAAGTTTATGATCGGCGTCCTTTGCACATGCGTAATGCCCCGAGCACCGTCCACATAGGCCTGTACAACGCGTAGCTTCCTGCCCGAGACAGAGACGATAGTGACCTGTAACCTAGTAAGCGTGTGGCCTCGATCAAATGCTGAAAAGAAGGGTCCCGACATACGGGGATCACGTGATGATGGCTGTACTGCGGTTTCGCCAGGCGGTTGAGCATGATCATGAGCAGACACCACACTTCACCCCACAACAGCGCGTTGTTCTCGAGGGCATCTTGGTTCGCGAGAAATGCTGTGACGTGTGGCTTCGACACATCCAGAGCCTCTAGAAGAAACATAATATCGAACTGGTGAGTATCACTGCTACGGTGGAGATTCTTCATGCCACCCCCGGAGCTGGCACCCCAGCGTTAGCACGGCTGTCACAGAGAGGTGGGTCACAGCGTTCAGAATGGATTTTACGTACTCGAGCATTCGCCAGATGGTACCTTGAGCGGGATTCTGAGCGTGCGGTCCCAATACCAAGCCTGAACTGCTTTCCTCCCCCTCTGGATTACTTAGAAGCAGCAGAGACTCGAAAAAGATGCTCATGAAGCGGGCTCCATGCCAGCTCAAATAGGCCGCATCGTCCAAACGGCTGATCTGTGGATACTGGCGAAGTCTATGCTGCTGGGCGATGGCGACAACAGATTTCCAGGGATGCATGCGGAGGAATTGCTGGCCGTCACCAGCCGCCTTCCCAGTGGTGAACTCGAGGGCAATGCAGCGGATACCGAGGCTGCTGATGTCCTGATTGTCGAGGTGTACGTGCTGGTGTTTCTGCAAGTACTTGAGACTCGTGGCGAGATGCTGAATCTTCGGCTCCAGTGGGGGATACGCGCTCGGAGGAGCGGACGGCGCTGAGCCCTTCCCTCTGTGTCGACCAAACATGGTGGTTGTCTGGAATGGAGCTGATGATGGTGCGATCTGGTCTGTTGGGCATGGCTGGGAACAATTTGGCCTGGAACGGGTGGAAGGCATCGATGCGACTTATTATACCACACTCGATGTGGAGTACAGCAGGTGTGGGTGATTTGGTCGGTCGGCGTGGTAGGTAGGGTGTGGTGTGTGGTGTGTGGTGTGCGGTGTGTGGCATTGGAAACGGACAAGACGGATGTTGGTTCCAACCTTGAGGTCCAGAATACCTAGGTACCTTCACTGTGACGCGCCCGTGCGCGCCGTTGGTCATGTTGACAGTTGGCTCGCCGCCAATCAGGTACCAAACGTCTGGAACGGCGGGGCCTTGTGGGTCGTCACAGCAACGACCCGGCGCTTGCATGAGGCTGACATGCAGCTGACAGGCAGCTGACAGGCTAGAAAAGCAGGAAAGGTGCGCGGCTAGCCCAGCCCGACCTTGAGGCTGCACCTTAGGGGTCTGTCACACCGGTCGGTCTATCAGGTCGTTCCGGGTCCTGGATCCTGATCGAAGACGGAGACCCAGGACCCTGATCGAAGAAGAAGACAAGGACGAAGACCGCAAGGCCGCATAGCCCCCCGTCTCAAGCAAGCACGCGCGCGCCTGTTCTCACAGCCTGTCAGGTCTGAGGGAGGTCTGCCCCCAACGACACTGCTCAACACCCAATTATGCTGCTCATGCTGCCGCTACCGCTGCCTCACCTGGGGCTGGCGCTGCTCACACACAACCCGCGTCCTTCGCGCAGCAAATGGAATAAATAGCCTGAGATCATCGTCGACCAGAGAAGCGACAAGAGTAGCAACCAGAGCATCAAAACAAAACGATACTGGCGTACTGGTTCCCGGAGTCAACGACACCACCGGTCTCAAGTCACTATTTCTCGATATACCTACAAGGGCTTATTCCAGCCTGTCCATTTCAGTCGACCTTCTGACGCCTACACTGAAGGTCCAAAAGCCTCCGTACGCGCCCCCACCCCCTCCAACAAGCGAGAAGTACATACGTTCTGGATCGAATAAGCACCATGGAATAAGCAGCTCCAACTCAGCGAGCCATCTTGGACGCTTATTCCATGGTTCTTATTCCATTCGAATGATTATAGCATCGGTATCTGACAATGGATAGAGACGTGCCGGACGGAGACTTATGGGGGGTGATTATATCAACATGTTTGATAAGGTTCCAAGAAGTGAGAAAAACTGGGAGGACCTGGCCACGAAGCACGGATTGCAAAATGCTTCTCTCCACGACGGATTTTCCTGCTCGTCAGCCTCCGGCATTGAGGATCAGCCCTTCCTCCTCCTTCGCATCATTTGGCCTCGGACGGCGACGCTAGAAAGCTTAAATTTGAGCTTTTGGAAGAAGTGGGTAGATGGAGACAACTTCGGGCAGGCCAAGACCATCCTGGAGAATCAAACACCCGGTTGGAAGTCCTACATTCGGTCCCTCGGCCAGACACAGCAGCAGTTGAAGGCCACTGGCTTTGCCGGGCTCGAAACCTTCTCCTTGGTTCGTCATCATCAGCTTGCCTCGCAAAACTTCGTCGACAACACCGCCTCATTCATCCAGAAGCTGGACTTCACTCCGGTCGCAATGAGAACGCGGGCCCATGCTGCGCTTTCAAAGCCAGTGTCGCAGCCGACTACGCCAACGCCCAGCAGGAATGCCCCTAAACTCGAGGATCTCTTGGAAGATCTCGATGTTTCCCCTCGAGGCGATCTCCCTCCCCGTCCTGAGACTCCCTTCCCATTTGAACCATTTTCGCCTCTAAGTGGCGCACTCGCCGATCAGTTCAAAGCGATCCAGGATGAGCAGATAGTGAACACGGCTCTCATTCTTTACCTCGATGCCTTGATCATTCACTGCACCCGGGTTCGGGGGCAGTGGTCTCTTCATCGGCGCGGTTTTATAGCACGGAATAAGAATTATCAGAAGACGTATGAGGCGAGGGTAGATGGCTTGCTTCAAAAGGACGTCACCGGCGAGCCGCTCGCTATCCTTGAAGTGAAGCCATTCCTTCGCTATCAAAAAGGGGAGAGTACGAAGTCCATCAAGAAGCAAGAGGGGGCCCAGATGGCGGCATGGATTAGCCAACACCCACCGCCTCATCTACAGGTTATGCGTAGACAGAAGTCGAGAACTGCGTAAGTCACACGCATCTGTTTCTCACCGCAGTGTGGATGGCCGCTAACCTTATACCTGCCAGTCGAATGCTTATATCTCAGGACAGGCACGAGATCTATCTGACATTCGCGAGCTTCGATGCTTCCTATGTAGACTACATGCAACACAGAACTAATCAGTCATCCCTGTTGGAGATGTGGGAATATGGGCCTTTCCTCATCAGCGAACCCGAGCACATGAAGACACTGGGCGTGGTGGTGTTGGCGTATGTTCTCCAGGTGTGCTGCTGAAACGCAAGCCACAAGAAAGGGCTCGATCCAGCGGGACTTGTGTACCTTAGCTTATGTCATCGCTCGCATTACTTTCCCGTGGTCACGGGGTATATAGGGAGTCTATTGCAATTGTCTGTCGAACTGACCGAAGGCCTTACGCATGCTCGATACACTGAGCCCCCATAAGTCTCCGTACGCCACCCGTCTAGCAAACAACGGTAGATTTATCGAATCAGAATAAGCACCATGGAATAAGCATTGGGAGTGACGTATCAAACCAGAGCTGCTTATTCTGTACGCTTATTCCAGTATTTCCTACTATCTCATGGCGATCTGGAGTCTTGCCAACATGCGCGCACGGAGCCTTATGAGAGCTGAGTGTAGCTACATGTACTGCATGCTTTAATTGCAGAGGGGCCGGACGAGGCGACTTACTTTGATTGTAGGGTGAGGTGCGGCAAATGCGGCAAATGCGGCAGCAACGTTTATCGCAGTGCCAAGTGTTGCCCGGCTGTAATGACTGCACAACGATGCGGGTGGGTTGAAGGTTGGAGACGGCCAGTTATTTTACCGAGTGTGAGAGCCGATGGAGGACGAGAGAAGCTGCGGCAGATGTCGACTGCGAGTTCCCGTCGCCTGGAGAGTGATTATCACCGTCGCTTGCACCGTCAATTTGCTTGAGGCCTTATACTCCTCTCGGGAAGACGACTCTCCTTGGCTCATTCATATTGCCAGCATCCATAGTCGGAATCGCTGCCGATAAGGGACAAGCCGATTGCGTCGATGCAATCAGTCAGGTTGAAGCTCTCGGTCTTTGCGTACAAGGCGTAGCTTGCGCCGGTATTGTTCAAGTAGTCGGGGATGTCGGGGCAAAGCGAGAGGCCGCCAAAATTGGAACCGTCGTTGGCGAGGAAATTGAGAACCTCCACCTGGGTCTCGGGGCCGCAGTCGTCCACGATGGTCTGGTGGAACCATCCACCGATGAAAGCGCCGTTAGGGATGTAGGCGGAGTGGGCGACGGTGTACTTGACCAGTCCAGTAGGGTCAACGTAGATCTCCTGGCCGCCGTGGACCTCGACCTGATCCCCGCGTGTTAGCAAACAACGTGGTCTTATTGGTACATGAGGTGAGCTGCAGAGTGATTGGTGGGCAATGGTATTGAAAGCGTGGTGAGGCGCAGGTACATACCGCCATGCCGGTCATCCCGTCATAGACCAGTGTGCCGTGGACCTCGGGACATTTCCCACTGTTCTCAGGGCAGTAGGTGGCTGGGCCCGAGATGCCGGTGTAGAAGCCCGAGCCGGCAGCTTGCATCGAAGCTCCGTCGATAACAGTGCCGGGGGCGAATGCTGCGATGGAATAGGCTGTGGCCGAAGCGAAGCCCGGCAGGGTCAGAGCTGCCAGGAATTGCATGTTTGCTCGGTCGAAGATGGATCGCCGAGGTTAGTTGCAAGGCACACGGTTGCGGTCTGTTTCTGGGTGCAGGGTTGAGATCAGTGAGGAGCTCTGATATTAGATTGTAACTTCAATGCTAAGATGGCGGTATGGAAAAGTGATTCAATTAGTTCTGGTGGGATGTGAAACGAGTGACTGGTTGGTGGACGAGTGTGTGGGTGTGGGTGTTTGAGCTGGGGAGGAGACGGAGACGGCAGACAAACTGGAGGTGAAAAACAGAAACGTTGAGGGGAGGGGAGTACCTGAGTGCCTCCTGCTTCCTACTTTCGTGTGGTGTCGCTCCTTCCAAAAACACACGTATCGCGCCTTCTCACTCCACCAGCTGATGCCTTCATTTCCTTATCGATCAAGACTCCCGTCGTTTGGCACTTGTGGGGTGGAAGGCGCGAAGACAGCGCTTACAAGACATGGAGGCACCTGGGGCTGTTCATACCTCAATAGGAAGTGTCACCCTCTTTGGGCTCATCGTGGAATCAGCATGGTAAGGTACATTCGAGGATGAGTGACGTGATCCCATCTGTGTAAGTACGTTACATACGAGGTAGGCATCATCGTTCTCATTGTGTCAATGAGCACCCTCGACAGCACCATGAGATCAACCATCTTGAGTGGCCCAAGTAGAGCCATCCAAAACTATTACATATATTCAGCGCGCTCTATCTGCTGCTACTGGGCCGCACCGTGGTCTCGTTCGACAACTGAACGAGCCTCTCAGCACTTTAACAACGGCCATCGCCAAGATACGCCCCCTATGTCAGAAGCTCATGAATCCTTGCTTTAACATTCGAAGTCCCGTAGTCTGAAGCTTGAAAGCATGAAGCCCTGCGTGCCCTTCCTTTTCGCTGAGGGAGGTGCGTATGGCCGTCCCCGACGGTTACCTGCGAGCTGGTAGCCATCGTCGGCACCGCAAATAGTAGGCTACAGCGAAGCGAGTCCATCGGCTGATGGCCCCTTGTCAACGCACTCGGGCCTTTCGCGAACCGGACTTCTCATTGTCCCATGATGTTATGCTTCTCCTCGAGAAGTTGACAAAGCGAACCCTCCTTCCGTATCCGAACAGTTCTGCACCGCTCCCGAATTCCCGCCTACCAAATTGCCTTGTCGTCCGTCATCACTGGATCAACTGCCCCTGATCGACCAGCATCGGACCATCTGTTCGGTAGAAGACCCAACCCCAGTGCCGCGAGAGCTAAGAGTTGTTGCCGAGCTGGCAATTTTCTGCTGTCTGTTTGGCCATCCCAGTCGTCCGTAATGTTGTTGGCGGTTGTGTCAGTTTGGTTACTCTGGTTCATCCTAGGATAGGAAGCTGTTGTTACGAACCAACGAGGCGTACAGGGAATGAGGCCCGCTGGCAGGCCCAACAAGATGGACAGTAACTGGAAGAACCCGGGAGAACGCACGGGCCAAGGAAACGTCTAGGTCACGTGATCAAGACATCACGTGATGGATAGCTTGGATAGCGAGGTTATCCAACATATCCAGGATAGCTTGGATAGTAAGGTTATCCAACATATCCACCCCATCAGTAAAGGAGAGATTGGATATATAAGGATGGACATTTCCTAGCTAGACAGATAGACAGTCTCTATCTCAGTGATCAATCTAAGCATCTTAGCCAACCCTAAGGTGGGAGAAATCTCCTGACGACTCGACTATTCAGTGAACCCAGTTCAGACCAAGCCCTAGTATCTGAGTGTCTTCTAGTTGACAGAAGCCTCTATCGTCTTTTGTGTTGACTTACCTCAGAACATAAACCCTATAGAACCCTTTAGCCTTATAGGTTAGACGGCTCGTCACAATCGAGGAATAAGCATTCACTCACCTTTTCATTGATATCATTTGTACTTAAAACCTGAAGGCGCGGATTTACTTAAGGTAAATCCAGGTTTAGGTAAAAAATTATATATAAACAAAGCAACCTAAATAAATATAAATAAGCTTATTAAACCTCCAATGAATAAAATAAATCATGGATCCTTTGTTAAGTAACTGTGAATGCTAGATAAATTATTTATTTATCAAGTATTTGTTAATACTTGATAAATAGTTATCAACGTCTGAAGCGGCCTCTGTCGTAAGATGGCAATACCGCTCACTTCTTGGCTCTTGGCAGCATCTATGCTAACGCAGCGCTGTCAGCGTGGTGCCTCCATCGACAATGAAGCTGCATCCCGTCACGTAACTCGATCGCGGGCTACACAAGAAGACGACCGCATCGGCCACCTCTTCTGGCATCGCTATTCGAGCAATGGGTACTGCGGCCTTCATGAAATCCTCCAGGCCTTCTACACCGCTGGTTGCCTTCTGCACCATGGGTGTGTCTGTCCAAGAGGGGCAGACGCCGTTGACTCTGATCCCGTAGGATGCATTGTCAAGAGCTATGTGGTGAATTTCACACATCAGCATGTCATATCATGGGTGTGGGGGTGCCGTATGACTGCTTGAAGATACTCACCGCTGTTCTTGCTCAATCCAAGAGCCGCATGCTTGGGCGTGGTGTATGGAAGGACATCCGGGGTGGTGATTAGGGAAGACCCTGAACCGAGGTTGATAACGGAGCCACGCGTTGTTCCCCGGCCGGGAGAGGTGGCCGAAACGGCTCTGGCCTCCTGAGTCCGCATGGCTACGGATACCTCCCGCGTCACGAGGAACATGCCTACCGTGTTGATGTCAAGAAAGCGCTGGAATACATCCAATGACATACTCGCGATGTCGGTGGCGTGCTGGACTCCTATCTGGGAAGCAGCACTGTCAGCAGGCCCGTTACAGAAAACGTCAGCAGTGTTGCATATGCTGATAAGACGACAGAAGGAACAGCAATGTGATGGATAGTAAGCGCAGGGGGGTTGCAAGGCCTACATACTCCGGCGCTGTTGACGCAATAATCCATGCGGCCGAAGATCTGCATCATGCGGCTGACAAGGTCGCGAACGGAATCCAACTTGGTGATGTCGACCTGAATCGCCTCGGCACGGAAACGGTCGCCACGGCATTGCACTCGGCGGCGACGTCGGCCGCCGCACTCAGGGCTATATCGGCAACCAGCAGGCCAGAAGCGCCTTCAGTAGCCAGTAGAAGAGCACATGATCTACCAATACCGCTACCTATGCATTATCGTCGGTAATGACCCGTCAACGACGGTCGATGTAAGCAGCTGTCTAGGTAGCCGCTCGAATTCCTGCGTACCTCCGCCGACTACCAAGGCGTTTCCGGAGATGTCCATTGCTATGAGTGTGGGTCTCGTAGACTGTGCTTGGGGAAAGTTGAAACGGGTTGTGAAGGATAATATTGCCGGTTGATAATCATGCCGTCAACTGAGAGTCTCGTGCTTGGATGATTTATACACCGCAAATCTCACTATGTATGAGCCCTGTCCAGGCAGTAATATGGCAAGTCCATCCTAACTTCCACCCCTGCCGCCTACTCACTTGAACCGGTGACTCACCTGGAAATAGCTACGTACCGTGTGATTGATATCGAACCATTGCATGTTTACCCTGCGCCCAAGCCCTCAGTTTGACCAGTAGAAGGGACATTGCGACCCCCGTGGGGCTCCGAAGGATGGGAAGCTTATGCCAAGCTCCATGGATGCTCGTCCAGCAGCCATCACTCGCTTGTCTTCGTTCTCGCTTTCCTCTTCTAGGCGTCGCCATGTCATGCTCTGCGGGATCCAATGAATGAAGTTTCTGCGGCCCAACCTCTTCATGATAACGGATCAAGACATCCCTGGAGGCTTGACCTACTATCATGCAACGGAGCGGACCGCTCTCTTGGGTATATTGAGTCCAGAACATACTGGTGCTGATCAAAGGCCACTCTGCTTAGTGGTCGCTGTTGACCCAGTCTAGAACATGCCCCTGAGGCCTGGTGATAACAATCTACAGCCTCATTTGGCCTTGTACGCTGCAGTTGGGACTCTTATCTGCATTAGTCTCGAAGCTGTATGAGTCTCACTTCAAGGTGTAGCTCTATTATTGGTAGTCGAGACCTCGATTGCGGTCTTGACGTCGACGAAGTAGGTACATGGGAAGTGGTCCTAAGTCTAATCCACTGAGTGCTCAAAGTGAGTACAAGCAAATATAAAGGGGTTTACCACTTCTCTCCTCGTAGCTAGTCCTAGGCACGAACAGCTGGCTCTCGTGAAATTAGTCTACACTCGTCCCTTCTTACATCTCGACGTACCGATCAACGCGAGACATTCCATTCTCCATCTCGTTTCCCAACAGGAGGAAGCTCAGCCATGTCTGAATCTAGCAATGTCGTCATGGATTCGTCTTCCGCCTCTAGCGGAGACAATTCTAGCGTGGTGATGGTGACAGACGAGGGCACCAGTGGTTCTGCTGACTCGACCTCACTTGAGGAAGACCCCCCTTTGTATTGTGGGCATGGGTATGTCCTTGCAACCACCCGACCAACGGACGAGATATGCCAGTATACCAGGAGAACAGCTTGCCGCCTCCCCGGAGGTGTTCACTCCCCTTCCGATCTTTGGGATCTCCTGGTGAAGCAGGTCTCGGCTCAAGGTCCCGTGCCGCCCGAGAGATACAACATTAATGGCTTCTACGATGCCAAGGGCAACCGTAGCGGTACTACTAACGTACCAGGCGGCTACTTCCTCGACGAGGACGTGCGTCAGTTTGATAATGCCTTCTTTGGCATAAACAACCTAGAAGCTACGTACATGGACCCTTAGCAGCGCAAGCTGCTCGAGGTTGTGTACAAATGCCTTATGAACTCGGGGACTTTAACGGGAGGTGTGGCGGGTTCCATAACGGGCGTCTACGCTGCCAACTTTTCCGTTGACTACCAGCCCATTTAGACTTGCGATCCCGACTATCTCCATAGATATGTCGCAACCGGCTCTGGTGCTACGATCATGTCAAACCGCATTAGTCATGTCTTCAACCTTTATGGCCCCAGGTATTTACAGTCCCTTTACACGCCCTTCTAACACTTTATGGTTGAACATGCGCAATGCTGACGACATTTTCTTGTCCTCCTTTAGCTTTACCATAGATACCGCGTGTTCTTCTTCCATTTACGCGCTCCACCAAGCGCTGAACGCCATCAAGGCGGGTGATTGTGACAGCGCTATCGTGGCCAGCTCCAACCTGATTCTGTCTCCCGAGCTCCATATAGCGGCGGCCAAGAGCGGAGTACTTTCGCCAACAGCAACGTGCCACACCTTTGATGCCTCAGCCGACGGATATGGTCGTGCCGAAGCTGCTAACGCTATCTATATAAAGCCTCTGTCCGCCGCAGTCAGGGACGGGAACCCGATCAGGGCTGTTGTGCGGGGGAGTGCTGTGAATGCGTAAGAAACCCTCATCCACATCTATTTCAGGCTGTGAGAGAGAAACAATAGTACAGTGACTGAAACTCTTTACAGCAGCGGCAAGACACCAGGAATCTCGCTGCCGAGCGGCTGGCTCCAAGAAGTAGTCATGAGGAAGGCCTATGCTAATGCCAAACTGAACTTCGCCGAGACCGACTACGTTGAGTGTCACGGGACAGGGACTCCAGTGGGTGATCCCATTAAGGTCTCGGCCATCGGAAGATGCTTTTCTCCACGAGAAGGCGCGCCATCCCCCCCCCCCCCCCCCCCCCACACACACCCACACACACAATTGCTCGTAGGATCGGTAAGTGAATCCTTCATTACCCCTTACCGACGGATGACAAAAGAAAAGAGCTGATTTAGACAACGACAATCCATGGGTCAAGACCAATGTAGGACACAGTGAAGGCAGCAGTGCCCTGACCTCGATCCTCAAGGTTGTGGAAGCATTCGAGAAGGGCCAAATTCCGCCCTCGCAGGGGATTGTCAAGTTGAACCCCAAATGTGAGTCCTGCCTTGTTCCCCAGCCCATTGATCATGGGGGCTGACTTTAGGTTACAGGGTTCCTGGCCGAACACAATTTGAAAGTTGCCCAGGAAGTGGAAGAATGGCCGCGAGCTGTTCGCCGCGCGAGCATCAACTCATTTGGCTATGGTGGTCCCAACGCCCATGTGATTCTCGAATCTCCCGAGAGCTACCTCGGCCACAACTACCTTTCGAAAGGGGGCTTCGCAGCCGACGATCCGAGCGAGCGAGATGGACAGACTCTAATGGTGCTTCCCGTCTCGGCAGCATCGCCTAAGTCGTTGGAGATGCTCGTCGCCCAGGTCGCGCAAGCTGTGGCGCAATCGCATGACACAGAATCGCCCCAGAGCCTGGCTCATACGCTGGTCAATGGCCGGGACCACTTGCAGCACAGGAGTTTCATCTTGACGAAACTCGAAGAGGGGCTTGGGCGACTCATGGATGCGACAGCGGTCCCGAGGCAAGCAGTCAGTCCACCGCCATTTGCCTTTGTCTTCACCGGCCAGGGTGCGCAGTACGCTGGCATGGCCAAGGAACTGCTGTCCACGAGCCAAAACTTCCGCCACACGATCCGTCGCCTCGACTGCATACTTCAGGGTCTCCCCCCTGTACACGTGCCGAAGTGGACACTCGAGCAGACACTGCTGAATGGTTCAAACAGCCGTATCAACGAAGTGACACGCAGCCAGCCGCTCTGCACGGCCGTACAGATAGGGCTTGTCAACCTGCTGCGCAGTTGGGGGGTGCAGTCCACGTCCGTGCTCGGGCATTCGTCAGGCGAGATCGCCGCAGCATACACGGCTGGTCACTTAACATCGAAACAAGCCATTCTCGTAGCCTATTTCCGTGGATTGGCTGTAGGCAAGCTACGCTCCAAAGGAGCCATGGTGGCGGCTGGCTTAGCCCCCGACGAGGCCAACCTACTCATCAAGAGCAAAGGGCTTGAGTCACAAGTCCGGGTAGCGTGCATCAATGCACCCGAAAGTGTGACCTCTGTGGACGGCATCGAGATGCTGAAGCGACATTATGCAGGGTGAAAACGAGTTTGCCAGAAGCCTGGGGACTGGAGGTCGTGCTTACCATTCATATATGATGGAGGAGGTCGGCAAGCTGTATGAAGGTCTCCTGGCACCCTACTTTGGATCCGAAGACTCCGACGACGAAGGAGATGCCTGCGTTCCGGCGATGCAGGCTAGAATGTATTACTCTGTCGGACACGACCCGCAACATCTCGGTGTCATTGATAGTCAGACGTATATGCCGGCGTACTGGAGAAAGAACTTGGAGCAGCCCGTCCAGTTCAGCGCAGCGGTCGGGAACCTGGTGGCAGGAGACAAGGATGTCCACCTGATTGAGATATGCCCGCATGCCACACTCAAGGGTCCCATCAAGCAAATCCGAACAGGGCTTGGGATGAGCGAGGTATCACTTCCTTACTCGGCAACACTAGTGAGAGGACAGGATGCCGACTTGTGCATGAAGATGCTTGCTGGCGCGCTCTTCACGCACTGCTACCAGACATTGCGCTGGGACGCAGTCGACGGCCTACCTAGATCGGGCCTAAGGATTCTCCACGAACTTGCTCCTTACCCATGGGATTACTCCGGAGGTCTGCTTTGGAGCGAGCCTCGTGCCAGTCTCGAAATGCGAAACCGAAGACACCTCCGTCACGAGCTTCTTGGCACCCTGGCGCTCACGGGCAACGGTATTGACTTTACGTGCCGAAACCTGCCTCGTCCGAACGAGATACCATGACTCAAAGACCACAAGCTGGAAGACCAGATTGTGTTCCTAGCGACGGGATACATGGGGCTTGCCATCGAGGCCCTGTCACAGATGACAGACGCCAAGGAGAAACCAGCAGCTCAGCTTGCATTCGAGTTCCGCAACGTGAACATCAGCGCCGCGCTCAACATAGCCGACGAAGACAGAGACGTTTATTTGTCCGCCAAGGACCTGGAGCTGCACAACACCATGTCCCGGCGCAAGATTTCGAACACCAACAGTTCGGGCGATTGGCACGACTATGCCGTCTCTTCTTGGCTGGCAGGTCGGACAACGGTACATTGCACGGGGAGCATCCGCTTGGCGGAGCGCGCAGAGAAGGATGATGGCGTTGCGTTGCAGAACACGGAAGCGTTTGACACGTGGTCCACGGGCCGATGGTACACCAAGTGGCACGAGGAAGGACTATGCTTTGGTCCGCACTTTCAGTCCCTTACCAGCCTGCAGACCGATGGGGGAAGAAGGCGGCGTGAGGCTATTGGGACGACACGTCTACAGCCTGCCATAACAGGTGGCTCGTATTACCCCGTGCACCCCGTCACCATAGATGCCGCCCTCCAGGCAGCCATTCTCAGCACGACGGCCGGACACGTGCCCTCGTTGAAGACCTGGCTTCCCGTCTTCATCGAAGAGTGCAGAATCCAGCCTCCACAGTTCACCACAGATGCAGATAGCGAGGAGGCCACTGGGGAGATCCAGTCGCAATCCTGGGAGACGGGTCTCTCCAGCCGGAGAATCGACGGGACCATGCGGGACTCGCGCGTACACCTGTGGTTGACTTCCGAGGGGGGCGCATCTCGCTGTTCACTGGGAAGAAAACCACCACAAAATGGAGCAGTCCGAAGGCGACAGCAGCAGCAGCAACGACGTTACCGACGTGTTTACCAAGCGCCAGCCCACCCTGAGGGTCAACTGGAAGCCTGACTGCCTGCGGCTGGGCCCGGAAAGCCAGGGCCAGCTGAGGGAGTACGTGACCGGCTTCGTTGACGAGCAGCATGACGACATGCGCGATGAGAGCTTGGCTGTTATGACGGCACTGCTTGACCTAGCCGGTCACAAGAACCCGCGATTCGGGTCTTGGAGCTCGACGGTGACGCGCTGGGGTACAAGGCTGACCAGTGGCAGGCAGTGCTGGGCAAGGGAACTGCCTTTGCGCGTTACCAGTCCTGGGCCTCGGGCAATCTGACGGACAATGGAGACGTGGAGGTGGAAGGGCATAGTGACGGCGAAGAAGGACCTTGTCTACGCCACTGCACTCTATGCGATAAACGACCGAGCACACCTGCGCGCGGTTGAGTCGGTGCAGATCCACGCTGGCTCTGGCGGGCTAGGCATCGCGGCCATCACCCTGGCGCGGCGGTTGGGTGCTGTCGTCTACACCACCGTAGGCTCGCAAACAAAACGCGACTATCTGGTTAACGAGCTGGGCGTGCCCGCCTCGCATATTTTCAGCTCGCGCGACGCCTCGTTAGTACAGGTCGTGAAGCAGGCGACCGGCGGCCACGGCGTCGACGTCGTTATTAACTCGCTGGTCGGCGACCTCGTGCACGAGAGCTGGCGGTGCCTGTCGGAGTTCGGTGGGCGCTTCGTTGAGGTCGGGAAGCGCGAGCTCGTCGACTCAGGAAAGCTCGACATCCGCGTCTTCTTGCGCGGCGCCACGTTCACGGCGTTAGACCTATCCGAGCTGTTCTATGCTACGGACCCGTTCCATCGCGCAACCTGGGACCGACTTATGGCCGAGACACTCGACCTATACCGCTCAGGCGAGATTGCGCCGCTGCCGATGAAGGTGTTCGATGTCGGGCAGGTTGCGCAGGCGTATCGCTATTTCGCGAGCAAGGAGAGGGTGGCCAAGGTGGTAATTTCTATGGAGGACACGCGGCAAACGAGGGTTCCGGTAAGACTTCAACCAACCCCCATCCCCAACTCCCTCCCCCTCTTCACCTGGACAAGAAACGCAGCGTTAAATACATACTGACTCGCTTTTTTTTCCTTCGAAATCAGGTGGCTCCAGCTACCTATCAGAGCGTTTTCGACCCTGAGAAAGTTTACCTCCTTGTCGGATGTCTAGGCGGCCTGGGACGTAGTCTGAGCTGCTTCATGATGGCCCGCGGCTGCCGCTACTTTGTCTTCCTCGGCCGCTCAGGGGCCGACAAGCCGAGTGCCCAACAGCTCGTGTCACGGCTGGAGAAGGCTGGGGCAACGGTCGGTATCGTCCGCGGCGACGTCTCCAGCGCATCTGACGTGACCGCTGCGGTGTCCGCGTGCCTGGCCATGTGCCGGCGCATTGGTGGCGTCATCCCAGCGGCCATGGGCCTGCACGAGGCTCTCTTCACCAAAATGCCCTGCGAGGCCTGGCACACGGGCATCGATCCCAAGTGGCAAGGCACCTGAAACCTACATAACGTATTGCAGATACACGTGAACAAGGACCCGAGCAACGAGCCCGACTTCTTCCTACTCACGTCCTCGGTCTCAGGCACAGTGGGAACCGCGACCGAGGCTAACTACTGTGCCGCTAACGGTTTCCTCGACGCTTTTGCGCGGTGGCGTCGGTCTCGTGGCCAGGCGGGCATTTCTATCGGGCTCGGCATGATTTCCGAAGTCGGCTACTTGCACGAAAATCTCGAGATCGAGGCGCTGCTGCTGAGGAAGGGCATCCAGCCGCTCAACGAAGAGGAATTTCTACAAGTAGTCGACCTAGCCTTAGCCAGCGAGTCGTGCCGTCAGCCCAAAGAGAGTCAGTCACCTTCTCAAGGGGCTCGAGCCGGCGGCTATCCGCCAACTCAGCGCCCAGGGCTTCGGCGTCACAAGCCACGGCGTCCTAGTTGAGGCGCGTGCCTCGCTCCTTCTGGCATCCCTCTTAGCCGAGAAAGAAGCGGCTGCTGGGGTGTCTCAGAAGGGCCACGCCGCCGTAGTAGCCGCTGCCCCGTGGTTCAAGGACGCACCTGCGGCGGTTTCAGCTGCCCTGGCGCCCGAAGCAGACGCGGAAACCCTACATGAGGCAGTTCTCCGGCTGATGAAGAAGCGCTTTTCTAATCTCATCCTCATGCCGGCCGACCGACTTTGGGGTAGATAGTGTGATTGCGTCCGAATGTCGGTCCTGGTTCTGGTCCGTCTTCCGTGTCGATGTCCCTTTTCTGGATATTATGAGTGCGGGGACGAGTCTGCAGGTCTTGGCCGGATTCGTTGAAGGGAAGCTGGCGGTAGAAACGAAGTAAAAGACGAGACTGACGAACTGGAGGCGGCTGGCACCTGTCAGTAGACTACATAAGCGATAAGATAGAGTATCAGCACTTGCCCCGATTGAGACATACTACTAGTCACTTGGCACTCCACTGTAATTACTAGCGCGTGCCATTTAAGATTCAACATATGCAGCCGATCTGTTCTATCGTTCTCTCGACTCCTATCTCTCTACACCTCAGTCCGAAGTCAAGTCTAGATCTTGTGTGCTCTCACAAACAAGCTAGCCAGAAATGCCACCGCAGCTAGCGCTAGATGCATAGCTGTTCAATGTCAGATCCTGCGGTATAGAAGCTCATCTGGGGGGGAGACTGAAGCCACTACGAAAAAAACATCTTCACAGCTACCAGGTGCAGATGTGCGCTGCAAAAACTGCAAAACATACAACACTGGGGATTCGCTGGTCGTTACCGATTCAACTGCTCTCCAGCGGTACCGGGCTTACTTAAGGCAAAGCGGACGGGACGCCAAGTTCTCCAGATCCTCATGTTCGAATGTAGAAGAAGAGTCACCAAATGGAACTCATATGGGAAGCGTTCAAGAGCTCCACTGGAGCTGAGCAGTCTTGATGAAAAACGACGAAAGAGAATAACCTGTATGTACTCACCATGCGCAGACTTGAGACCCCGTACATAAACATCCAGAACAATCGTCTTCACCGGACCGTCCAGACCTTGGATGTCCTCAAGTCTAGAAGTCACATCGTGGATGATCTAAGAATGGCGTCAGCCTTGAGGAGCTGCGCAGATAAATCGTCAGCAGTCAGCAACCCGGGGCCTAACACACTGCATCTTTCTGCGGGTAGTCTCTCAACTCCGTCGGGAGCCCGCTCTTCAAGACACCCTGTAGCACAGCGCTCGTCGTCGCCATACCTACCGCTGTCGCCGTGTCATAGGTGAGATAGAAGCCGGAGCAGGCCATAGCCATATCCTCCTTGCTGATCCTGGCGGTGAGTGCGACGAAGGCTGTGGACAGGATGAGGCCGTTGCCGAAGCCTCTGCGACCTTCATGAGTACGCTTATGAGAAGCGATGCGCTCTTGGGAGTCAGGCTTACCCAGGTATGATGTACAACGCTTCCCAGGGCTTGATAGCCGTGCCCCAGCGCAGCATCAGCAGGAGGTGGCAGGATGACGAACAAATGGTCGCGAAGACCAGAAGACCGAAGTATCGTCCGGACCTATGCCTCATCAGTCTCTCCTCTCTACACCTTGGGTGTCGAGTCAAGTCTCACCTTTTGATCAAGTAACCAACCACCTAGGAGACCCCCGACAGTCACACCGGCTACGGCTGGTAGAAGGTGGGCACCCGCGACCGTAGCCGACGTGTTCTGCGTCACCTGGAAGTACAGCGGGACCGTGGACATCATCTGAAAAAGCAGAGAAAGCAACAGAGTCAGTCGCAATTGCCAGTGCGAACGAATTCAGACTGGGGTGTGATGGAGGTCTTCCTACGCCGAGCTGAGCTGCCACCTGGCAGAACATGATCGTGTTAGACATGAAGACATCCCATGACAAGAGCATACTGGGAGACATGATAGGTTCCTTCGCCCAGTAGGCTTCAACCAGGAAATAGACGGCACCCAGAGCGCCAGACGCGATGAACAAAAGGTAGTTGAGCGGATGCGTCCAAGACAGGCTCGTTCCAGCCAGCTCTAGGGGCAGCAGGAAGGCCAGAATGCCCGAACCCAAGAGCAGTGAACCGATAAAGTCGATGCGGGAGAGCTTCGTAAGCATGGATTCGTCGGTGGACGGGCCGACGCGGTTGGGGACTAGCAACCATGTGAGGAGAATTGAGAGAACCGTCGGAGAGCACTGTCCGAGGAAAGACCTGTCTATCGTATCAGCAAGCCATACAAGGACCACCTCAAACCCCATCGGCAGCCGACTGTTCGACGTCTCACATGAAACTCACCATCGCCACCCGATCGTGTCCGTGAGATAGCCTCCTATTGGGCCTCCGCTGGCTCTGCCGACAGTGGCCACGACGCCGACATAGCTTCTCCATACGCCAACGTCCCTCACAGGCACCAGGTCTGAAGCCAGATCAGAACGAGCAAAGCCACAGTAACGCATCCAAAGTACAGCATAGACCTACATACCCGTGATCATGATTGACATTAAACTGCCCATGTCTGCTCCTCCTAAACCCGATACAACCCTCCCTGCCACCACGACCAGTAGTGATTGGCCCATGGCGCTGGTGCATCGTCAGCTAAGGCGTGCGACGGCAAGGTGATAGGCAAACAAGTGTTTACCATATCGCACTAGATAAAACGCCAAATCAGTACCAACTCATTAACTTGACCCTAGTAACTACCGACACGAGGGGATGTGCACTTGTCTGAAGACTTACCAGCCGACACCAAAGAACGTATAAGCAACCAGGAGCATCCTCGCATGACCAAATATATTGCTCAGCTTGCCGTACTAAATCACCGTCTGTCAGCAACTGGTCCCAGGATGATCGATCAGACGCGCAGTCCAGCTGTAACTCACCATAGGCTGCGCCACGGCCATGGCGAGGACATAACTGGTCAGAAGCCAGCTCCCGTTCTCGAGGTCGTTGAACTCGGAGGCAATATGTCCAAACGAAGCTACTACCAGTGAGCCCTCGCTGTTCGCAACGAAGACGCCTGTTTCACGGCCATAGGTTAGTCAACTCATTCACTCATTCGGCAGACCTGCGCTGTCGCAAGATATTTAACGTTACCCCGCGCGGAGAAGGAGGTGGGTGGTTCACGAACCGACGAGTAGAAGGGATATCACGCCCGCCACCGATGACGAGCACGTGTCGCATATACTAGGCGCTCTGTTGTTCTCGTGACTGGTCGAGGTCAAGCCTGCCTCCTCGTCGAGGAGTACACCTGGTGACCGTGTACTGTCCACGGCGGTACCTCGTGCGGCCTGCGCCAACAAGGGCGTCCTCTCATGATCGAGGTTCGATAGACCTGCTTCATTCGGCATGGCTTCTGTACCTCGTGTTGGAGCAGCAGTGAAGGTTGGGGTCTTGTTCCGCTTGGTTTCTGGAATGATCACCAGTGGAGGAGCTCGGTATCGTAACACCGGCGAGACCGGTTGGTGTTGGTGCCGACTGCACCCATGTCCACCATTCCGCCAACTGCTTCCGGCTACATACACCATGTTGGCAGTCCAAAGTACGTTCAACCCCGCAGGGCGAAGGAATGTATGCTGAGCCGCATATGACTACTGCAAGTCTCCTGCAGTTTCGCATTCGAGAATCACCTTGCCAAAGGCTGCTAATTTCGTGGGTGATCTCTTCTCCTTCCTCAGACCGCCTGGCATACACCCAATGGTGGATGAATAATCCACATGCCAAACGGGGAAACCTCAGATATACCGGTCCTCCCTTAATAATACAGCGCATAATATCAAGATTATGCTTCTAGTCAGACAGGTAATAATAACATCAGTATCAACGCCCGGCTCGACCTCTATAGTGGTCCCCCCTTTGGAAAGAAATTGTACACGCTCTTGACCCGCTGTAGCTTCCAGTTTCCCTACACCAGACGCCATACATATCTATACAAACCAGCTTGTTGCGGAGACAGAGCTGAGTATCTGCGAGGCATGAGCAGCCTGCCTCCGAGTTTCATCAAAAACTTTAGACATCCCCATCGTCCATCCAGTCTCTCTTCCAGAGCCAGAAGTAGCCGTGTTGCCAATCGCGTGGAAGGCCCGTCACCCGATGGTACTGGCCCAGGATACCCAATGGGGTGATCAAGCCCTCCCAGACCAGGACGTGACTAGCATACTGCTTGCGAAATATGATTGTGCCAGCCAGGTCGGAAGCGTTGACTTCTCCAGTTAGATTGAAAGAGCCGCCACCATCTGAGCAATCGAGGGCCTCGACGAAATACGTGTCGCCGTGGATTTCTCTCTTTCGAAAGAAGATACCCTGCATGGGATCGTCGACTCGATCCGCGAGACCGAGGCCGTATGTGTAACAGCCATACCACTCGCCCTCGTCGAGCCGTTTGGCCAGATCGTTCGAACGGGTTCTGTACCAAGACCACCATTCGTCACCCGCAAACGGGTAAAAGTAGCGGCCTCTGTCATTCGTTGCCCCACGAAACCTGGCGAGGCTGGGTGTGACTAATGGAAAGCGCGGTTGTAGGGAATGCTCCGATACCACCTGAGGATCTTCGTCATCCCCGCTTTGCCGTTGCGCGGTGTACGGGGAGCCGACAAACTGGATTTTACCTGGATCCGGGACGCGTGTTCGGACTCGGCGACCTGTACCGCCGATGCGCAGGGCTGAGAACAACGGAAGCAGTCCGGTCTGCCCCTGTTTCGAAACGTATTGCAGATTCCTCGTAATAAGGACTGATAGTAGAAGCGCATGGGTGTGCCTGCCGATGTACGACTCCTCAAATACGGCGTAATCCGGCCTGGGTCTTTCTCTCTCGAAGACAGACTTGACCAGGCCTCGCAGAGCGTCGGTTCCAGGACCCAGTGGTATTCTAGGATCACCGTTTTCAGTACTGGCGAGTTTCGATTGCTGCCAATCGTCGAGCTGTAGTCCACTCAAAGCTAAGCAAAAGGCGAACTGTACGGGTTTCTCTGTGCTCAAAGACCGGTCGATCCTGAGTTGCTGCAGAGCGCGTGACTTGGGAAACAAGATCGGACACAAGCTATCGAGTGTGGCCGCGACAACCGAACTACAAGTTGCAGAATCTGGGACATAATCCTATATTAGCATAAGTAGCCAGTCGATATGTGAGGCAAGGGACTAGAGAACTCACACCCCCAAATTGGCAGGGTAGACAACAGGCCTAGTACCCCGTGGAGGGATTCCTCAGTGTCTTGTCCGAGCTGCTGGGAATCCAAAGTGGCATGGAGCTTGACACTTGAGGCGAGCCGTTCCAACTCGACTGTGGCATCGGGAATTCGGGCGGCTGCCACGGCAAGGCATCTCCACGTCGCCGTAGGGCCTTCATTGAGCTGGGAAGGTTTCTTGGGGCCCTCAACATAGGGTTTGACGAAATGCACCAAGGCATTTTTATCTTGGAAGAAGCTCGATATGGGTTCCGATAACTGTGCTTCCCGTCAGCCTGTGTCTGGCAACGAGGACCGCCGGTAGGGAGCACCGATGCGATGCCATGATTGAACTGTTGGAGAACATCGGGACCCTACATGCGCCTCGAATGAGTGCTGGAAGACGGCTGGCTCATCGCATGCCGCCTGAAAGAGTTGGCAGGTTTGTGAGAGACGGAGGATGTCTGGCGCGCGACACCATGCTGCGATGCTCTGAATAAGTTCGACGGGGAGGGTGACGAAAGTGGCCATCTCTCGCCTGCCTGCAGTAGGTAGTCGCAGACGCAGTTGCAGGACGATGAACGTTACCGTCCACGTGTAGAACAATTCATGGTCAGACCCCAGAAACTCACGGATAATGGGCAATGGACAATGGACAATGGACAATGGACAATGGAACACTTTTTCGAGGGGCCCTTGAACTTCCATCGGATGGATCCATCCGACCCTACGTAGCACCTGCATTTTTATTTCTCGAGGCCCGACGTCATTGCTGGCCCCGCTTATCCCTTACCTATTTGTCCTACGTTTATGTCGATCACTTGCCCATGTGAACGGCAAGTGCGGGTGGCCGTGGCGGAGGCCTTGCAGTGGCTGCAGCTGGTCAGTGATCTGTCAGGTTCAATGTGTTTGTGTTGTGTAATGACTGCCGCCTGCCATTGGCATCGGATATCATGGCGAACATCTACATTGGACAACTTGAACCACTTCCAGTTGTTGTGCGACTCGCCAGAGGCCTGCTGATAGGCGATAGGCAACAATGGTCAAGAACGCTACGTGATGCAGGGTCTTTTCTCCACACCCGCGCCGCTTGGTGCCGCCCCTAGTTCCGACTTGGATCAAACCGACAGTCGGACAGAATTGAGATAACACGGCAAGGCTCCTTTCGCATCATCATACGAGATATCATACGAGATGCTGCCATCTAATTTTTTCGATATTCTGGTTATAAAGCTTACCTAGACCTAGGTTATGCTGTAACATGTTATAACCGGAACCATAACCCTAACCCTCCTAGTCACTTGCCTCGAAATGACGGTCATTAAAATCGACGCAATCTCGGATTTCGTTTGTGCGGTTCGTCCACACCAAGTTCCATATCCTAAACCCAGCTCACAATTTACCCACCTTTCAAGTGATGCTGCGTCGGCAAGGCAAGCTCGAGAGCGCCATCTCGCTCTACCAGAAGGTTTACCCAGGGAGGAAAGACGACGTTCTGGCGGCCATCTTATCTTGGCTAAAACTCGTCATCCCACAGCGTCAGAAGAGCGAGTTGGCCAAGGTCAGGCTTACCGGATCCAGCGAAGATGACCAAGCGTGTTAACAAGGCCGGACGAGCCGAGCCGCAGGTATCAAATTCATCAATGGAGAATTGATCGGACCCCATACAAGGAACGCGCATCGCCTGGTCTACCTTTGCCGGAGTTAAATCAGCCGATGTTTAGGCCGCGCTGGTGGAGGGGATCTTCGAGGCGTATTATGGGCTTGAGAAGAACACCTCGTCTCTAAAATTTCCTTGCGAGAGTGTAGTGAACATAAGACTTGATGGAGCAGAAGTGGGCGGGTGGTTGTTGCGTTCAGACGTCGGCATGGAAAAGTTCGACGAGGAAGCCCGGAGTATCGAAGCGGGTTGGCGGCGCATGTCATACAGAGAACGCATATGCTGGAAGGCGTTCAAGACGCAACAGACTTCATGGAGCTTTTCATAAATTGCAGTGAATATCGCTCGTTCCAGTGGCTTGGATTCATGGAGTCTCGTCTAGAAGAGGAGCTTTCCGAGTAGAGAGCCGAACACTCAACAGCCATGACATCAAGTAAGCTTTCGGCGAGATCACAAGTTCAAGCACTGGCAACGTTTGGAGACTCGCCACTACAATAAATACCGGTTCCTGCAGGAACCAGTATCCCGGCAAACCATGGCCAAATGCCTTGCTGTGAGGCTTTCACTTGATCTCTAATAGCCCAAACAGAAGGCTAATATCCCACAGTGTCTACGTCGGTGACCAGACTTGGCGGTGATGGGGAAAGGGTCCATTCGCGGATGTGCATTGGCAAATTCCCTATCCGACCTCTCGATATTGTGCGGAATACAAGGAAGTCTCGGACGCAGATCGTGAGTAGCAGGCACAATCCTCCCTTGGGAGCATTGACGACTCTTTTGTTGATGCAGATACCAATGCAGTCATAATATCAGTCGTATCTCATGAGATTTGACAGTTCCAGACTGAAGTTGACCATGTGTAAAGTCTACTGAAGTCAAGCCGGCGGCAAACCTAACACATGACATGGCCTTCGAGGTTGACAGTTGATGAACGATAGTCCTGAGGCTGGGAGGCAGGCCAGGACTAGGCTGGCTGCGCTAGGCCGCAGTGGGCCTAGCGAGACTGCCGAAATCTTGGTAACAGTAGATTGGATTCAGCTGTCGTTAGTGCGCGGGCGTGTGCCAACCCTGCCAAGTTGTATGGCCCGGGAGTGACAGGCCAGCAGGCCCGACAGGGACCCCACCACGCTCTAGATGTGCTCACCGCCTTCCCCTTCTGGGGTAAAAGCAACAAGTCTGTACCTAAGTTGCGACCAGTCGTCGTGCAGGCAGGCAGGCAGGCAGGTGAAGTGCCTGAAGGAGAGCTCAATCGCCTTCACCATTACCTTACCTTCGCGCTCGCCCTCGTCCAACTTCCACCTTCTCAATAATACATTGTCTCACCCTGCTGCCGTGCTGCATTCTTCGACCTGATCGCGCAACTACGCTGTTGTTCCTGTCATGCACCACCGTCACCTGCAGACAATGTGTTTTTCCCAGCTTGTGCAGTCGCACCCACCAACTTGACTTCCCATTCCTCCCCTCATCACTGCGTGGGAGGCAAGCATCGTCGCGCACGCATTATAATGGATCGCGACTCGCCCAAGGATCCGGGCGTGCGTACTGCGAAACCCAACGGTCGAAAGAACGCGGTCCAACCCTTCGGCCCAGGCACCAGACGACCAGCGAGAAAGAACAGCATCGCATCCGCGACCGACGCAGGCGCGGCCACGAACACGAGACCCAGGATCGCGAGACCCAACACACACCAGTCTCGACAATCCGAGTCCTTCGCATCGCGTCCCAATCCGAGCTATAGCCTAAATCGAAGCATTAGCAACAGCACCACTTTTGGTGCCTCTAGAGATCCTACATCGCCGCGCGACACACGCATTCCCCGCCCCAAGACCACGGCTCCCATCGCCAACCATCCGAGTACCTCTAGTCAACATAGCCAGTCCCCATCTTCCCCAATGCGCCAACCGATGGACCTCACGGCAGCCTTCCGGCGCGCCATGGAACAGGAGGCAGAAGAGCACAACGATTCCGATGACACGGTCAGTTCACGTCAGTCCTTCAACCTGGCGAGCGCGCGAGTCAATGGAACCAGAGGGGTCGACGGGTCGCCTAGTCCAGCACCTCGTACATACCGCCGCGACTCGCACCTCACGTTTCCCAGGAGAACAACAGGAAACAGGAGAGACAGTGATCTAGGACGCCATCTACAACAGTTTGACCAACATCATCAGCTAAACGGCGGCAATGGGCCTCTCAATGGCTTGTTCACCAAGAACCGAATTGGGCCCAAGGTTTCTGAGACAGGCCACGCCCTCGCCAAGAAGGCCAGCGACAGCAGCCTTAGGGGCAGCCCGAGTAGCCGTCCGACGAGTCACCGAGGACGCAGCCCAAATAAGCATGAGAATGCAAAAGCAATGGGGACATCCGAAAGCCCGGCTAGTGACCGTGCTGGCCAGGAACGCGCTGCTGAGGACATTCCTGTGCCATCCATCGAGTATCAGTCTGCCAGTGACGATCGATCTTCGCCGTCTCCCAGGCCCACTCATCCATCACCTGAGAAGAGTCATAATTGGCACCTCGATGCTGATTTCACTGCCGGAGACTTGCAAATTTCTGCCAGTCCTCGTGTTCGACTGGTGGAAACCAAAGCAGATCCAAACGGAGAATCTACCGACCCAGTCAACTCACCGGCACCAGGGACGCCAAGTTACCGCCGAAGCAACACTCGGCTTCAACAGATTCGAGAGCGAGAAGTCGAAGCCGCAAAGGCTTCTTTCCCAGAGGATGAGTCATCGTTGCGGAAGGAATCCCCTTTACGGGTCCGAAAGAACACTAGACTCGACGAGTTACGAGCTCGAGAGATGGAGGCTGTGTCGAGGCGAGCAGTGGCTTCGAGCCGGCTTGATGAGATACGAATCAAAAATTTCGAGGCTCGCTCCAAATCGCCAGAGGTACAAAGGCCTGCTGGTAAGGAAAACGTGGAAAGTGGACCAGTGCAAGTTCCGCCTCAGAGCGAGTCTCTGGCAATTCCCAAGAATAACTCGGATCCTAACCTGAGAGGAGAAGCAATCACCGGTACACCAATTACCGTCTTCAGAAACCTAAACAATAAAGATGACGACGCGTCATCTCGACTGAAAGAGGGTGGTGTTCTTAAGGTTCAAGATGACGACAAAAGTGGGCCATTACCTAGAAATGATTCCCATGAACTGCTTCGACGTCTGGCTCGTGCGACCAGCTCTAGCCCGCCTGGGGAGAAAGGTGAGGAAACCGAAAAGCCCGAAGAACACACGACAACAGTTGAGCTTCCTCTCAAACCCGTCTCCGACGAGAGGGACAGCAGTCGTCCTCGCTTGACCAGAGAGGAGAGAAGGTCTCGAAACCTTGAAGTTAAGGGCTCCAGGGAGAGACCGACCGTGGGTTTCGTAGGCCTACGAAGAGTCTTGTCAAGTGATTCAACGCGAGAAAAACGAGCGAGTCTGGCAAATTCTGAAGCGGATCCTACCGACCGCATCGAGGCTGAAATGGACCTCTTTGCTCTTGCGGATAACTACTCAGAGAAGGGCTCTGTTAGAGCTCCCTCCCCTGATCCATCTGAGCCAATGGAGGAAGAGACTCCTCGACCGACCAGGATAGATCCGATGACACTACCAACACCCCGTGTCACTGGTGCGTATGTCAAGACACCCGCCACCGTCCGGGTGAAAGAAGAAACCCGTCTCTCCAAAGACCAAGAAGAACTTTCCGGCTGTCTACCAGTACTATCGCCAGAAATCATTCCTGTTGCCCGCAATCGGGATTCCAGCAGGTCTCCGATAAAACAGCCCATCAACAACCCTGCGAGAGACAGGGCGAAGGCATCGGGGAGTTCTTTGCCGAGGTCTTCATCGGTCCCAGCGACGCGACGTCGCGCTAGGTCCTCGTCTAGACACAGAAGACATCCTCCGATCAACACGGCCAAGCCACCAACGGTCCGAGATGACATCCGAGCCATCTTACGCACCAACCAAATCGACGACTCGACTTTGGAAGATTTCGATTCAATTCTTGCTAGCCAGGAGACTGACGACAAAGAGCTGCGGCAAATGATAGATGAGACACTGCTCAAAGTGGAAGACAACCTTGCAGCCCCTGAGATCACGGATCGTGAGCGCGAACTCGACGCTTACGACCGGATGAGCAAGTCGCTCAAGACTGGTCTGCTAGGCATTCGCTCCGCCAAGAAGGGGATCGAGCGCCTGGAAGACAAGGTTACCCACACCGAGCCAAAGGATAACCAGGTTCTTGCTGACCCGGATATTCCCAGCACGAAGTTCACGGCCCATGCAACCCCCATGTCGACTGAACGAGCGGCCTTCATGATCACTATCCCTCCGCTTTACCGCAGGACGCCGAGATTCAGGCTCACCACCTTTGGCCTCTTGACACTCCTTTTGGCTGTCTGGTACGCGCTGGAGTCTGCTTTCTCTTTTCTCTACGCTGGTCCCCAGTATGAGTGTACACCACGCGTACCTTGCGACTGGTCGCCCAATGAGCCGTACTTTCCATACACGATGCCTTTCATGTTGGATGAATGGACTACGGGAGGCAAGGGAAGAGCGATGACTTGGCGGATCGGAGAGGAAGTTGGAGACGTTGTTGCGGAAATCTCTGATTGGGTCACGAATACCGACTTCACTCAGTTCGACCAGACGTACATGAACGTGTGGGAGCGCAAGAGACAACGAAGACGCCTACGAAAACATGGCCTGGTCCCCAAATGGGTAGAGCCGCCCGGTTACCAGTCCCAATACTTACAATGGCACTCGGCAAAGGTCGCGCGGGAGCCGGCTGAGGAGTATGGGTACGACTTTGATTATGAGAGTATGGGTGCAGACGAGGTAATTGGGTAAACACGACCAACAACCTCATCACAACCCCAACTCTAGAGCGAGTATGGCGATCATGATTCACGAACGTAGTCTCAATGACTGGCGACTGTTTGCATTGGCACAATGAGAGGGCATTGGGCGATTAGGCGATTGGACGTTTCAAGCAGGCGGCATAGGATTTGCTATAGCATTTACATCTGGTGGTCAACCAATGGCGTTGGTGGTCATGTTTTGTGGCTGTTGCACCCTACGAGGAGACACGGCATAGAAGTTCCTTTGGGGACGAACCATTCACTATAGTATATGATGTTATACATAGTTCTGTTTTGCTTAGATAACTCAATCTGGCATGAGGCATCGAGTTCAACCTGGGAATATCGTCTCCGAGGTATATATTCCCATCCGCCATACCAGCAGAAAAGTTACCGCTGACGCACTTGACTTCCCAGGATGGCCAACCGGCTGCCAACTCAAAAGCAGGATCCGACCGCCGTTGCAGCTGCACTAGTGAACGCCAGCTACGTTTGTGACGAAATCCAGCCCCTTTAGCGCCTCGTTCAGCTCGACGCCATGTGCCCTAACCTTGAAGCCGCATTCCTTGATTGGACATTGGACCATGACACTCAGACCTAGACAAAGTCACAAAGACCACAGACCGTCAAAGACCGGCCAGACCGTGTGGCAGTCACCCGCACGCCCCTCTTTGCTGCTCTTGATATCATTACTAGCTGGCGATCCTTTGTACTAGGAGAGCTGGCGGGGAGCTACCATGGCCCGTTGCATCTGGGGTTGCGCGTCAGTCGGGCTGGGGATGACATAGTATGCGCACTAGCTGCGGGCAGGTCGTATATCAAGTATCTGGCTGTCCTTTGTGCTTCGATCGAGACCTTGTTTCTCGCCATTATATCTATCAAGCTGTCACACATTCCCCTTAATTTCCCACTGTCTCACTCACCAGACTACATCCGAGGGACGTTAATTATATAATACCAGTATGGACCACACTCCAGGAGCCTTCCCAACCACGCCCCTAGCCCAAGACCCTTCCTCCCAGCAACACCATCAGCTCGGCGAAGTCGACCATACCCCTGGAGCATTCCCCACCACGCTCGCAGCCGAAGACGAGTCCTCCTCCTCCTCCTACAACCAGCACCGCGAGCCCAACAAGCTGCACAAGCGAGAAGACCCCCGAGGCTGGAGTCAGGAAGAGCAGCTGAAGGAACTGCCGCTACGAAACCAATCCCAGGCCCAGCACCAGCACCAGGACTCGGGCATCGGCATGGCTGACAACAACCCCCCACGCCGTACTGTCGGCATGACTGACAGTACGGGACTCGGCGCCAGCCGCAAGCCTGCTGTCATGACGGGTGCTTACAGCCGCGTCCACGGCGATGACCAGCCTAGCGGCCAGCAACACCAGCAGCAGCAGCCTAGTGAGAGCATTGGTACTAAAGTTAGCAATATGGGCTCAGCTGCTCTTGCCTCAATTACCGGCTCAGGCCAACAGCAACCCTCGCAACAGACCACCAGCGGCCAGCAACAGACGCCCGGTCAGGACAGAGGTGGCATCGGTGCCTCCGCGCTCTCCCCGCTCACCGGCTCTGGCCAACACCAATCTTCGCACCAGACCACTCCCGGCCAGCAGCAGACATCTGGTGAGGACAGAGCTGGCATTGGCGCCTCCGCGCTCTCCCCTCTGACCGGCACCAAGTCCGGCTCCAGCTCCGTGTACCCGGAAGAGCAGCCCTCGCGCCAGACAAGTTACCCCAGTCAGCAGCAGACGCCCAGCGAGAGCCGAGGTGGCATCGGCGCCGCCGCGCTCTCCCCGCTGACCGGCACCAAGTCCGGTTCCAGCTCCATGTACTCGGAACAGCAGCCCGAGTCCAGCCAGCACCAGCACCAGACCCAAGGCCTCGGTGTCGGTCAGCACGACCCCGCCATCTCGTGCGAGGATCACGAGCACGAGCACGACCTCAACACAGTGCGCAGCGGCCTGAGCGACAAGTCAAATGTCGGGCACAGCGACCCCTACTGGGGCGACGTGCCGTACGGCACGGGCGTCTACAACGGCGTCAAGGGACACGGCAGCGACGAGGTGCCGCCTCCCACACACGAACACCATCGCAGCCCCACGGATGCCCACGAGCAGGGCCAGCATGAGGGCCAGAGGGCTATCCCGCTTGGGGGATCCTCCGGTATTTACAATAATGTAATAGGGCACGGCAGCGACGAGGCGCCTGCGGACTCTCACCATGACCCTCTGGGGCAGCTGGACGACCAGCGGGCTGCTCCGCCCGGTCACGAATCCACTGCTGGGTCTACGCCCCTGGACCCTAACTTTATGCAGCAGCACCGCCAGCAGAACAGGGACTCGCACCTCAAGGAAGGACTTGCGGGCGCCGGAGCGGGTGCTGGTGTCGGGTACGCGGCGCACGAGCTGGCGGACCGACATCGCGGCGACCGCGACCCGCAGGGCGAGCTCCAGCAGCAGCGCTCGAACGTAGACAACAGGTACGAGCAGCCTGAGGCGCAGAGGGAGAGCCACGTTGGCGCTGGTGGACTATACTACGGGGACGCCCTTACCGACGCCGAGAAGAAGGAGAGAGGGATCAAGACGCACGAGCACGAGCACAGGCACAAGGAGCCCAAGGAAGAGAAGGACTTCAACCTTGGGCACCTCCAGGAGAAGGACAGATCTACCGAGGACCCCAGCAAGAGCCGCCACGAGAAGGAGGCTGGTATGGCTGCCGCGGGCGCCGCTGCCGCTTACGGCGCGCACGAGCATGACAAGGACAACAAGCACGAGCCTACCAAGACCCACGAAGAGTCTCCGAAGGAGAAGAAGGGCGGGTTCTTGAGCTCGCTGTTCCACCGCGGCCACAAGGACGATCATCACGATGACAAGGCCACCAAGGCTACGCCTGCCCACCATGACAAGGGCGAGGGCTTCAAGGATCCGTTCGTGGCTGCTGGGTACCACAAGCCGGGCGAGAAGTCGACGCATGACAGGTCTCCTACTTCAGCTGTTCCCGGCGAGAGGCAGCACAACCAGCACGACAACAAGCTCGGATACGCTGCTGGTGTGGCTGGACTCGGAGCCGGTGCCACTGGCGTGTATGCCGCGCACAAGCACGGCGAGAAGGATGAGGGTAGCCCTACTGATGCGAGTGGTCGCGATCGGGAGGATCCCTACCGTGCGGCTTCGGTCGCGGCATCGGGTTCCCCGCAGACCAACAGGTCGCAGGCTCCTGGACAGCAGTACGACCATCTGGCGTCCGGCACGCCTTCGGGCGTCGACCTAGGCCACAGCAGCTCGCACTCAAATATCGGTGCCAACCGTGGGTCCACCGACTCGGCGCATGGCGGGATGTACAAGACTCTCTCATCGGGCACGCCTTCGGGGGTCAACGTTGAGCCCAACCAACGCCACCACCACCACCACCATGAGTCCGGCAGACAGTCGTACGACCCGACTTCTTCCGCCACGAGCCCTACCGCTACTGGCGACAGATACGGCGACCACTCCGGTGCCAAGGCCGCTGCGCTCGGCGCGGCTGGTGCCGGCGCTGGTGCCGCGGGGTACCAGCAGTATGCGCAGCGTGACCAGCGCGAACCCGAACTACAACAGCGCGAGATGTCGCAGCCGGAGCAGAAGCGCTTCGCCGGCCTCGACGAGCTGGAGAAGACGCGGAGCAGCGGTAGTTTGCCCGGCGCGGGCGGTGCCGGAAGCGGACTCGCGCCCAGCGGACTGAGTGGAAACGGCTACGGCGGTGGAAGTGGAAGTGGGAGTGGTGGGTTGGGTGGCAGGGCGCCGGTGTTGCATAAGTGCAAGAATTGTGGTGAGGATAATGATATTAGCTCTTACTTCCAGAAATAAGTGTGTGATTGGTGGTGGAGGGGTTGTATGAGATGTGTCGGGGGTTCTGTATTGAGATGAGGGAGGACATGGGGTATGCGATGTATATTATGAGCATGATTGGGTTGTGTCGGTACGGTAACATGTAATATCTTATGTCCATATGGAGTAGCTTGACACGTATCATTCTTACCAACATGCTGTCTGCGTATCCAGATCTTTCGTCAGCTTTGATATTGCTACGTCACCTTGTCACCGATGGCCAACACGCGAAAGTCTGTTTTGATAACCGGCTGCTGCGCTGCCGGCATCGGTGCAGCATTGGCTGAGGTGTTTCACGAAATCCCTCGAATATCCCCCAGACTCTCTCCAATGCGGCGAACGTCACGATACTCGCACTCGACGTGCTGTCTTCGGAGTCGTTTGCCGGCGCGATCGAGAACGTCCGCAGAGAAACCGATGGCAGCAAACCGATGGCGGGCTCGATGTCCTTCTGAACAACAGCAGTACGGCTTCCATTCTTTGGCAGCCATCTGCCAATGTGTGGCAGGGGTTATCAGTTGCTTACCAAAGAAGGAGACGGGCAACAGTTGCAAAACGGATGCAAGGAAACGAACGAATTGGTCTAGTTACTGTGTATGAGTAAAGGTTGCCACGGACTTCGATATGACGTGGTGATCTGATCAACGTGAATGGCCTGCGCAAGTGGCTGGGTGCTCAACTGGTCACTTCCGGCGCGCCGTGTGATATCGTAGTCACGCCGTTCTCAGCGTGCGTCTTATGTACATAGGCCGACGCGGGGGCTATGCTTTTTGTTGTCTGTTAGGGTACTGGGGTTTGGCTCCTCCCTTGCGGTCGAAAGAGCTGAATAATATAATCAAAATAAATCGGCTTCTAGCAGGGCTCCGGGATGGTGATAGGTCACCAGGTTGCTTGTGTCTGTATGTTCTGGTTCTCTGTAGGGTGTTCTGGGTGTCTGCTTGCTTCGAAAAAGGTGCCGGAGGACTTTTGGCTCGGGAGGAAGGTGTGGGGATGTCTATCTATGTCAATATCGGTACATCGGCGTCGGCATCTTCAGCGGGATCTACGCAGTCTATATATAACTACCTAGTTTAAATCCTGTGTCAGGATTAAAAGTTCCACGGTTCCTTCGAAGTGTTCTATCGCCGCATCCCTTGCGTCACCATGCGGCGTGATAATGACATCAAAAGTGACTACTACCATAACTTGCCAGTAGATACAACCTTGGGCGGTCACCCTGCATCATATCAGCTTGTTGCAAAAATAAGACATAGTAGTCATCGATATGCACAGATAATAATGCCGCAGGGTTCAAGCCGGAAAGCGGCTGCGTGGTCGTGGTAACAATAACCTTCAATCACGGCTTGGTAATCTAACTACTGCAGGGACTCATCCGACCACCGTTCGTAACACGATTGTTATCAATGCACATATACTTTCGGTCCAGACTGACGCCATCCGACATCTGGAACGTGCTGTGCGGATGGCCTTACGATGTCGCGATGGGTCGCTCTACGTAGAAGAAGGACAAATGATCTTCTTCACAAAGAACTCGTCTGCCAACCAGGAGTCTAGAAACCCAAAAGGAAGTTGCCACAGAAGGACGCCCCCATGCATGCGGAATCTCCTCATCCTTCGGACGTGCCGCATCACATGTCGATCGGCTCTATTCCCTCTTCCTACCTACTTAGATAGCCTTTCCCGTTGCACATCATATATTCCCATGTAAGAACGATCGGAATACGCGGGAACCCACACCTCCTGCTAGAACTTTAGCTTGGCACATGTCCACATTTCTATCATGACATGTAATCCTGAACTATACATACACATAACACTTTAGTTGCTAAGCATAACAGCCTCAAGACCAGACCGTGGCGACTATCCACACCTGACCCCAGGGCGGTGGTTGCGTCAGGAAGCGGGAAGCCATTTTACTACCCTGTTTGACCACCGAAATAGACACCGGACCGGGATCTTGGACCGATGACGCTATCTAGAACAGGACACGTTGAGCATTATAAAGGTAGACGATAGCTCAGCAGAAATATCGATTGGCCTATAGAGCAACACACCCACACCCATATCCAGTACATCCTGATACCGCCCAACGAACTATATACGCCCATATCCCCTCCCCAAAAGCCGCTACACGCAGCCAAACCACCTACTCCAACATGAAGCTCCAATCGTTCCTCGCGGCCGCAGCTCTGCTTGCACCCTTCGCCCTCGCCGCGCCCCAGCCGGCCACCGGTGACGGTCTTCAAGACCGCAGCTTCTTTCACCACTCCGACGATGAGGTGAACGGCAAATCGCTCGACGAATGCCTAGTCATATGCGGCGGAAACTCAAGATGCCTTCAGGATTGCCAGGACGATTCTATGTTTAAAGATCCGTAATAGACTACTCGACCACGGCTTCCCTTCCAGGCCCGGAAGCCACGTTGGATGGTACAGCCCCAAGGCGAACGCATAGACCAGAGTCGGCAGCGCTCCAAAAACTTCAAGACATGCATCGGGCTTTGGATGGGCGGTAAATAAGATGTTAGACATGATAGGAATACTTTAGACGTAGCAGAGTGACGAGATGAATGATGAGTAAGAGTCCATTGATGAGATGTACTTTGTGCTGTATACAGCAACTTGATGGCATCCTGTCTCTATATGTACGTGCCACATCATGACACCACACTCCCTAGAGATCAGAGTTAATCCAGTCGACACTCTCCATGTCAGACCTATCATCACCCTTATCACATCCAAGGCGCGGGATCTGCACAATGCATTGTACATATCTGAGTGGTAAGGTGAGATTCTCGTAGCACGATGTGGACTTCAGCACTTAGCCAGAACATCATGTAGGAATGGCGAATGGAACTTCCAATTCCAAGCTGCAGAGATGGCTAAGGCGGCTAATCGAGGTTTCGCGGTCCAATTTGTATTTCCAGCTTCAACGAAAGGCTGACTGGACCAGATACTCGACACGTGTGATGTGAGGTTAGGCCTACGGGCGGCTGGTAGACATGAATGTTCAGAGGTTCAGAGGCGCTATTGTCTGTATCTTGCTCCTACCTGAAACGAAGTACATTGAGGCCGATGAGAGCTTACTAAAACGCCAGACCGTGAGCTTGACGCTTGCTTGTGTACTTCTAGATCTCAGGGACTCATGGGGGCATTGAAGTTGCAAATGATGATGGCGGGGAGAGCACGGGAGGCTGCCAAGTGGGACGGCACCTGGCAGCCTGGGTAGCAGCTTGCTAACCAGGATCCCTAGGGATGATTAAGCCACACCTAGCCACACACCGCCCCACCAGGCTATGATGCGACGTTGAAGGCTCAGCTGCAGAAGCCAATTCCGGCCGGCGCTGAGCTTGCCGCTCCAATGCGGACAACCAACAACTCGAACACACTGACACTGCGAGGGTTGCATCTTTGAAATCTATCTTCTCCTACATACAGCCTGTCTCGCTGCGAAATGACGTTTACCCCTTTGCATACCTCCGTGACACAGCATACGCCGTCATGCTTCGGTTCGCTGTTGGAAGATCTGAGGTCAGCGGCCACCCAACCCAATTTGGAGAGGTGGCCTTTTGGACCCTGCCTTATGAGCCTCAGCCCTTGTATGTGTGCCCTCCTAAGCTCGTTTCCCCCCTACTAAGCTTTTTTTCGGTGCCTGGAAGGCTGGAAGGGGTGCGGTTTCTTTTCTTAAGCCTGCGAGTTGCATGCTGCAATACTGTGTAGTAGCCAAGCTGCCAAGAGGGCACGAGACTCTTCGAATGCTCATGATTCGCCAATGTGCACAGTTCGCAGTCTATCACCATCACCGTGCCGCGTATGCATTCCTCAACCCCTCAATGGGGTGCAGAGAAGTCGCTTGTTGGTGGTGTCGGTTGGTGGGATAAGGGGCCACCTGTCAGCACTATTACTCAGCCGCAACTGTACTTGCAGCCCTACAGGTACACACGGTACCCGCATACTTCCACGAAAGTGAGACACTGACAAGAATCAGTAATGTGCTGAAGCCTCGTCCGTGGTTGGTCTCTTCACACTGATCTTCAGACAATCAATCTGGGCCGACCAATCAATAAGCTGCCTTTTTGTGACTCGTGGTTCTGCCAATTTCTCACTTTCCCGAAATTATGCGGTACATCATCCTGAGACTTGCAGGCAGGCTGAGCTGGGCTGAACCCCAAGCGGCAGTGTCATGTTGTTTTTGCAGTTATTGCAGTGCCTACCGACGATCCCTACCTAGTCGAATGGCGTAGCCTTGACCAGATGTGGAGGGAATCCTTCATATGAAGATCGTATCGCCGCCCTATCGAGATGGCGAGGAATCCTTCATATGAAGTCATACCGCCCCCGATGAATCACGAGCTGTAGGTAGTGCTTCCTCTTCTTCCTCCTCCTCCTCCTCCTCCTCTCACCTCTCTCCCTCTCCCGTATCATAGCCCTCCAATTGCCATTGTCTTGTAGTCCAAGCTCGACACCATCAAGAGTCGCATTCTCGAATTACGCACGTCCCACCCTCCCATCGTGTTGGCGGATTCCGGTACTTAAGACACCCAACCACACCCGTAAGCGAAACTCGCAAACACACGTCACAGGTGACGCCCAACAGAGAGAGAACCAACGACTCCTTCATTCCTGAAGTCCAAGTCAAAATGGACACACCAGAAAAGTTCCCCTCCGGCAACCCGCCCCAGTACGCCGCCGGCCAGGGCCACTCGCAGCAATACGCACCGCAAGCACAGCAGCAGCACGCTCAATACCCAGCGCAGTCGCAACCGCAATACCATCACATGCCCCCAGCGGCTCAGATGGCGACTCCTCAGATGACGCCGCAGCCGCAGTACCAGCAGCCGCACGCCGAGGTGCCCATGTCGGCGAGCCACCAGCACGTCCAATACCCGCACCAGCACCCGCACCCACCGCAGCCGCAGGCGCAGAACCGCGATATGGCGCTGCACAACCCGTCGGCGCACGGCCAGATGGGCGGCGAGTGGCAGGCAGACCTGTGCGACTGCTCGCCGTGCTCGTCGTGTATGCTGGCGTGGTGTCTGCCGTGTATCTGTAAGTCCCCAATTCCAGTCTACCTAGCAGCCTGCTGCAGGTGGTCAAATGCTATGAAAGCGAGGTGGAACTGGAAGAGCTGACATTTTGACGAAGTGGTCGGTAACACCTCTGAGCGCATCCGCGACCCCACGATGCAGAGCGCCGACATGCTGAACTCGGACTGTCTGATCTACGGCGGTATCGCGTGCTTCACTGGATGCCAATGGATGTGAGTTTTGTTCCCTTTTCCCCCTTTTCTCTCGTGATGGCTTGAAGGCTTCGATTGTTGGGTCCTGCTCCTCGCAGCATGCGAAGTCCCTTGCTTCACCGCCTACCTACCGCAATCTCTCAATCCGCAGAACAGCTTCTGACAGCGCTTTCTCCCACTGCAGCTACGGAATGATGAAGCGATCCGAGATCCGCGAGCGCTACAACATCCCCGGTAGCGGGTTCAAGGACTGCTGCGTGTCGTACTGGTGCCCGTGCTGCGCTATAATCCAACAGGACAACGAGGTCCGCATCCGACAGAAGAACGCCCAGCCCACGATGCAGGGCTACCAGTCGCAGCCGGACATGCAGATGCCGCCCGTGGCGCACGCGAAATAAGTCCGTTGTCGATGGTTGAATATTTGAAGCGGCATGATCAATAGGAACTGTCTTCCGGAGTTAGCGACATTTGAAGGGATGAAGCGCGTGGTTTTTATCTTGCATCGGGCAGGCACTTTGACGGGTTCGATGTGCGAGTGCACAATAGCGATTGGCGGACGGCGGGCGTAGCTTTCAGCGAGTCGAGCGGCGACCATACGAAGACCGCAGCGCGTTCCTTATGTAGTTGTTGGGAGGAATGGGCCATCAGAAGAAGACGATGGTGCCGAATGGAATACCCAGAATGAGATGAAATTTGGAAGACTGTCGACGTCGTCAAGTTCCTTGTTTTCGTGCATCTTCAACCTCGGTTTCGTCAGAGGGCCGCGTCACCTCCAAGTACAAAAAACAGGTGGGGAATTTGGGGATAGCCCGCACCTCCACAACAAGACAGTCTACAGATTACACCGCCTCTGTAAACAATTCACCCAAGGTTAAAATCGGATGACAGAACTCATAAAGTTTCATATGCGCTGGGTCTTCGCTATTGAAAATGTCGGGATGCTTGTCCGATCATCAGTTCGGTGGGCGGGCACCACTCGATAGCCGTGGACCCGACCTGCCGACGGACCCGGAGAGGCCTCCCTCCGCCTGTCCCGTCTCCTCACGATAACCCCAGTTTTCGATGCCGAAAATAGCAGCAGAATCCACCACGGCGACGACAAGTCACTTCATCTCTCTCCGGCCGTGCGTGTCACAGCTTCGGTCGCGATGTGGGATTCCATGTACCATATCAGTATACCCGTAGTTGCGAACAGCCAAATCCTCTTCACACCTACACCTTGTAACAACTGACAAACAACAGCAAAGCGACTACTGGCTACCTACCTAGATAGATATCAAAGCCATGACCTCCGAAACCGACAATATCGTCCGCCCAGTAGGCACAGCGTAAGCCATCCCTACACCCCCTATAGGCTATCAAGTCCCAACTAACCCAGCCCCCAGCGCCAAATTCAACACCAGCCGGCACAGCCTGGGCCTCTACCGCTCCGTCATCAACACCAGCCGCTACACGGTCTCAAGGACCCTCCTGCAGCAACAGCAGACCTCACTAGCAACGGTGATCGAAAACGCGCTGGCGGCCGTGGTGCTGCGCCATGGCCTCCTGCGCGTGGGCATCGCGGGCGAGGACACCAAGGAGCCGGCCTTCGCGCACCTGCGCGCCATCTACATGAGGCGCATGATCGAGTGGGAGGAGCTGCGCGTCAGCAGCGAGGAATGGGACGAGCGCCTGCTGCGCTCCCTCGAGAGGCGCCATGAGCTGCTGTGGGAGGACCTGGCGCGCAAGCCGGGGTGGAAGATCGTGGTGCATCATGATCCGCGGGATACGGGCACGGCGCTTCACGGTAATAATATCACCGAAGCCGTGAGTTTGGATATCTCATTCTGCTTCCACCACGCATACGCCGACGGCAAAAGCGGCGCCATCTTCCACCGGGATCTAGTGTCCGCGCTCAACAGCAACTCCGCCAGCGCATCACATTCACAGCAGTCGCCCCCGGAACTCCAGAACCACATCCTCCCCCTGCCCAGCCCACCCGCCCTCCCACCACCCCTCGAGACCCTCGTGCCGCTCCCGCTCTCGTGGCCGTTCCTCCTGCGCACGATCTGGGCGGAGCTGCTGTACCCAGTCCTCGTGCCGGCCTTCGCGCAGCGCATGTTCGCGCAGGAGATGCCCTGGACGGGCGGCGTGATCGATGCCTCGAGCGCCGTGGTGCGGCAGCGGCTGCTGCAGATCCCGCAGAAGGAGCTGGTACGGGTGCTGGATGCGTGTCGGGCGCGGGGCGCGACGCTGACGGGGCTGGTGCATGCGCTGGTGCTGGGGGCTCTGTGCTGGGGTGGGAAGATGCGGGACGAAGCGGCGCACGCGTTTAGGGGCGAGACGCCCATCTCGCTGGCGGGCTATGCGGATCCCAAGTTCACAGACGTGTTTCGCGCGGAGGACTCGATGCATTGTCTCGTCACGGCGCATGTGAGTGTGTTTGATGCCGTGCTGGTGAAGAGGTTTCGGCGGGCTGGCTCTCGAACCGAGGAGAGAGAGGCACTTGTCTGGGACCTCGCCGCGGACGTGACGAAGAACCTGCACAAACGCGCTGCGGAACTGCCGCGGGATGACATCTTGGGCTTGCTGCACTTCGTCTCGGACTGGCATGATTTCTTCCGCAAGAAGCTGGGTAAGCAGCGGGAGTGCAGTTGGGAGGTTAGTAACATTGGGAGTATGAAATCCCCGAAGGGGGCTATTATGGATGGGGGTAGCGATGGCTGGTGCATCGTGAGGTCCGTCTTCACCCAGGGTGCGGCTCCGGCGGGCGCTGCGTTCAAGGTCAACGTTGCGGGTGTTGAGGGCGAGGGCCTGACGCTCGCGGTTAGTTGGCAGGAGGGGATTGTGGATGATGAGGTCATGGAGGGGGTTGTTCGGGATATGGGGCGCTGGCTGCACGGGTTGGGTGAGGGTGGGAGGTTGGATCTATAAGGAAGGGCAGGAGGCTCGGGGCCTGGGGAACGGTTATCAATGTCCCAGGTACTCTTTATGTAGAGTCTTGTCTAATCAAATGTTTAATATTAGGATGAAGAGCTCGAGGCAGCCTCAGGGCTTGTTGCTCTTGGGAGACCTGGATTCGCGACGGTGAAAGGATCCGCGACGGTGACAGGATCTGCGAGGTGTCTTTCTCGGCGAAAGCCAACGACGTGACAATCGGCGGCGGAATAAGCAGTGATCCAATGCTTATCCCAGCCAATCAATCCTGAAGTACTGTTATATGAAGAGTTTGGAAGCAGACGAGGGCGGTGTCTCATGACTTACGCACTTCAATCGATAGGTGTCTTGGTCTTCTTTCAGCAACTTACCTGGCCCTGGCCCCTGAGCATTAAGATCCGAAGTTGCTTGAACTAACATCGGTGCTTATTGAAATAATAAGTTCCATGCGAACAGGCACCACAGCCGGGGATCACTTTCACGGTCAAAAAGTGTTGCATTGCGATAGGGGTAGGTCCCGACGGGAACCTGCGAACAGCCGCCTGCTGTCGATGGTAGATGAGTGTACGACGAGTTTAGGATCAGAGAAGCCAGATTAAGATTCATACGAATATCTCTTTCATGACCCAGCTGGGAAGCAGGTTCCAGTGATAGATTTTTTAAGGATCTACTAAGCGTCACTGTGTCCGCTTCATGTCAGCCGGCGTTGCCTGACCGAGAACCGCTTTGGTATCATTGCTTATTGTGGCCGGAATATGGATCGAATCTCCTAGCCCGGTTTGTACCCACGCAGTGGCCGACCACCGTAAATAGACAACGTATGTACCACGTATAATTAGGATTTAGTGAAAGCCTCGAGCAGGCATCAGTACAGTATCGTAGTAGCCGCGTACAGGTGTCCAGGATGGTAATGGTTAGCGGTTCCACGTGTATTTGCAATTGTAACAGGTAGAACTTTACGCAATGAGAACTTTCTCAGGGGAAAGTTCTCGTAAGTCGTTAGGTATGTATTAGCATGGCAGTTACGGCATTAAATTAGATCCAGACCCATACCCTAGAACCGCTAACCATTACCATCCTTGCTACTTGTATTCCTTATAATGGAGCAATCCCAAAACGGTTGACGTGAGGCGAATGATCCTCTGGCCAAGATCAGGGTCCAAGTGGGTGATGGATTCGTTGTTGCCTCTAGGAGCCAAAAATTCTAATCCTATTCGCGTGTAGCCTTGCAGGCGTGGGCCTCGGGGTCTCCGCGATAACCCGCATGCTGTGGGGTTGCAGGAACTGGGCTTACTTGTTATCTACTACCCCTTAAGGATACTTTCTATATTATTCTTTGCCCCTGTGACGCATTCTGCACTGGACGTGGCCTCCCAGGTGGGCTGTTGTAGGACTTTTCCTTGTAAATGCTTCCCTCGATCAGGTGTCGTGTCCAAAACTGTACCCAGCAGAGGTAAGAAAGAACTTTGCATTGAACTTGGTAATATTCTTTTCGTGTCAGTCAGTGGAACTTGTCTGGCAAATTGCCAAGGTACTGGAGAAAAGCACGAGCAGTTAGTGGCGATGTCCGTTGGCATATGTGGGTTCTCGTGTCTCTGACGGAGCGTACAAGTACAGCCGTAAACCTTGCTTTGACAAAATAGCGTGACCTTTAACAAGTCACAACTCTTGTTTGTTAACTCTCTTGTGCCGGCAATGACTCGTGTATCAATTTTTGCTTGTCTCCTTGCGGGCGCGCCGCCCCCCTAGCAGCGACTCTCCCCAGCTTCCTCGACGCGCGAGATGGCAGCTTCCAGGAGCCCCAGGGTCTTTGCGAAACAGACAAGAATGTGCAGCAATACTCGGGCTATATCAAGGGTAGAGGATGATATTGAGCTGTTCTTCTGGTACGCATCTACTCAAGACCCAAGCCCTACACCTTGGCACCACCACACATGCGTTGCCTCATGATCTTGACTTGTGCAGCGTGTCGTCCCTTTTGAGAATTTGTCCAATGTGCGCTACCATGGTGTTCAGAGACTGATTGGTTCCAATCTGAGCTAACCCACGCAAACTTCAAGGTTTTTCGAAGCTCGCGAAGATCCAGACAAGAAGCCACTCGTGGCACAACTCAATGGAGGTCCGGGCGGTGGCAGTATCGATTTGATCGGAGCAACCGGGCCTTGTGTGTTTCAATACGCGCAAGACGAAGACCCTGTACGTGACGACCACAGCTTTATAGAGGTCGCGAACGTGATCTACATAGACTAACCGGTCGGCGTTGGGTTTTCAAAGGGTAGCGACGATAAGGTTCAACAGATAGATTCTACTAACAAAGCAGTTACACTGCTTTGAAAGTTCTTCCAGAAACTCTACGAACACGACGAATTCTCCAAGTTCAAAGGTCGCGACACAGGAATATTCACCATCTCGTATGGAGGGATTATTGTACCCGCATTGGCAAAGTACATACTGGAACAGAACGCGAGCAAGAACGGCGTGCCTATCAACCTCTAATGGCTCTTCATTGATAGCGGTTTGATGGATCTTAAAATCGCAACAAAGTCCACAATCGATTACGCGTATAGTAATCCATACAAAAAGCTGCTTACGAACAAGAAAGACTACAACACTTTGCAAAAAAAGTTCACCAAGGATTATGTTCCACTATTCGAAAAGTGTAATGAATCCCAGGAAGATAGCGACTGCGAGGCTACTGCCGAGCAGGCGGAGAAGTTAACCCATGGCGGCGAGACTTACGGGGAATATAAGACAGAAGGCAGTATTTCATACCTCAAGGTGAAAGATGCTGGACATGGGACACTATGGGATCGTAAGTCACCCACCCTCTGCCCAGGCATTATTTCACACTGTTGCTGACCTGAAGTAGAGCCTGTGGCTGGATGTGACGAGCCGTCTAACCTATAAGGCTAAAGGGTTCTATAGGGTTTATGTTCTGAGGTAAGTCAACACAAAAGACAATAGAGGCTTCTGTCAACTAGCAGACACTCAGATACTAAGGCTTGGTCTGAACTGGGTTCACTGAATAGTCGAGTCGTCAGGAGATTTCTCCCACCTTAGGGTTGGCTAAGATGCTTAGATTAATCACTGAGGTAGAGACTGTCTATCTGTCTAGCTAGGAAATGTCCATCCTTATATATCCAATCTCTCCCTCACTGATGGGGTGGATATGTTGGATAACCTTGCTATCCAAGCTATCCTGGATATGTTGGATAACCTCGCTATCCAAGCTATCCATCACGTGATGTCTTGATCACGTGACCTAGACGTTTCCTTGGCCCGTGCGTTCTCCCGGGTTCTTCCAGTTACTGTCCATCTTGTTGGGCCTGCCAGCGGGCCTCATTCCCTGTACGCCTCTCGTTGGTTCGTAACACTGGACTGGCTTGTTTCCGGCAATTTCTGGCAAACGGCCATTTAGTCTCTGAGGGTTAGAGTTGGTGCATTCTACCGGTGCCTGTCACTGAAGTGGCATCAGGCGAACCACGAGGCGGCATGGTAGTGGGATTGCACGAGGGGAGTGTAACCTCCACGATAAAATACGTGGCTGGTTGAGGAGAAGGCAAGTCAGCGAGGCACGACTCAATCATCTGCTTGTAACTCAGGGCCGACCACACCGCTTCGCATTAAGCAACAACGCAAGCCGCGATCAAACCGGGGGCGAATGGGACAGCTCTACGGGAGTCATGGGTAGTTATAGATCAGTAGGGATAAATCCATGCAGTTGGCGTAGCCCTCTCGAGGTCCCTGTCTACATCGTTCCACACGCTCCACGTATTCCACACCGAGGAGGCTGAGTGTTGTGCTCAAACATTCTAGTAGCAGAAGTTACAGAAATCACGTCTCATTCAGAGGTCGCGACCAGTGCTTGCCTCAACCGCCGCACGATAGATCGAGTATCAAATACATCCGCCAAGCTATCTCGCGGGCGACATATTTATCACAGGACTACTACAGACCATTACTTCTAGGCCAACCCAAATGATGCTAAAGGCTGTGTGATGAGGTGATGCCGTTCATCGCCGGTGGCTACCCGCAGAGAAATCACGCCATTGTACTTAGATACGCAGCCGGCAAGCTGACGTGCTCAAATTCGCGTTCTCAGTCCCCAACCTATCCAACCACAGCGACAACATCAGGATCAACGGTATCTGGCCCGGGATGGTGCAGACGAATTTGATTCCTCGCCATCGGTGGGACATGTATCGCAGAGTATCTGGCTTTCATGGCAAGGTGGTGTCCACGGTGCAATGTTCGTTGAACAGTGAGGCCTTTAAGTAACCCTATCCTACAGACATAAAGTCGGACGTCTCTCCGTCTACGGCTCGTTCATGTCTCTACTTGCTCCCGTTCTCGACATCGTTCGCGGTTTCGCTTTACTTCCTGTTGGCAGCGTAGAGGTGCCGTAAACAAGAATATTATTGTTATTATCGTACTGATACAGCTAATAGCTACGCGGAAGGCCTGATCTAGCTACAGAGCACGGACTACGTAACCTCTCTAACACACCCCTTCAACCCTAGAGCCGTCGAGATCGGTAAAAGTCATGGAATTCTTTTACTAGAAAACGTAAACCGGTTATTTAGTTATAAAATTTGCATATATTCGTTTACTAGTTTTTATATATCCTTAAAACCTTTCCGTTGCCCTTTTAAAAATACCATATTTCTTTAAAATCGATATGAACTTGCTATAAAGAGGGGCCAAGGTTTAATTATTAAATAAACTTCGCGTAAAGTTTAAGCATTAAAAGCTTAGTTAAGCTATTAGCAGCTATATTGTATATAAAAACATATTTAATTTCGAAATCTCTTGCTATCATACAGTCGATTATCTATGTATATTACAAACTAATATATCGAGTATATTCGGTATTATACGTGTTAAAAATTATAAACATAATATTGAATAAGTCCGTAAATAAAACAATAACTTTTTTTTTAAAATATCTAGTTTTTATGAACATATACCTAATTACATATGGGATTAAGCTAGCAAGGATAAAAAAAAACCGCTTTAAAAATATATATATATATAATCTTTAATCAAAGTTCGGGTTTTTAAAATGTTAGCAAGTACGATATTGGCCTACATATTTAGTTTAAAGTTTGAAAAAAATACCTTTACAAAAAATAATACTAAATTTAAAAGTTTTAGCTAAATATCGCTAAAAGTAACAAACATTATCGACGTAAATTTATTTAGAGTTCGCGTTAGTTTTGAAAGCTTATTAATAATATGATTAATATCTAGTCTAGTACTAGTTCAAAAATAGTTCCAAAAACCTATACATGTAAAATACTTCTAAAAAAACCAATCTTACTTGGCAAAAGTCTTAACTTTAAAGAGTAAAATAGTAAAAACAAGCTTTACGTTAAAATTAGCATAATTCGTAAAAATCTTGCAGTAGTTTTCTTAGCATAAAAAAATCTATTTATAATTAAGATTGCGTATAATATAATAGCAAAAAAATTCTAATACCTGGCTAAAATTCTTAACATTAAAAAATCCTTTAAGTTAATAAATAACCGGATCGCAATTGGCTTTGGATTCTAACTGTAATGAAAATGTTATTAACGTATACGATTAAAAAATAACAAGTTTTTTATGCTTGAATATTATAAAAATCTATATAAAACGGTTTAAAGCTGATAGTTTTTAGCTTGCTAAATAGTTCTTTAGACCGTTAAACAGATGCTATTGAATATCTATAAAAGGCCCAGTTAAGGTTTTAAACAATTTTAATACTATTAGAATAACTAGGTAGTGAATAGTAGTATACATACACGTCTTATAAAATTGAAACATATAAAAATACCGTAACGATATTATATTAAAATAATAAAAACTTTGTATAACAAGAAGTACAAAAAGCACTTCTATTAAAATTAAGCTGATAATAGTAATATAAAGCTTGTAAATTGCTTGCTTAGTTATAGCCTTTTCAAAATTACTACATATAACTAAACGGACTTTATTTTAAAAAAAAGTCTCTGTTTATAGCAAAAGTTGAATTAAAAACCTACTGAATTAATAATGCTTATTAACTTTAAAGATATATACCAAATTAAAAGCCTTACAGGGTTTAAAACTATTAATCTATATGTCGAAAGCAGGTTTTTAAGCATTTTAAGGTTTTAGTCGGCTTTTTATAAAAACTTGCAAAAAAGATTCTTTCAATTTTTAGCGATAAAACCCTATGTTTAGGTATAAGAATAATAAGCTTGTTAAGTAAAATATAAAAAGCTTTATTAAAAGCGGGAGTTTAAAGCAATCATTACTTTTTATTTTAACTTAAAATCAGGCTATTTATAGTTTATTTTTTCGATTATCGCATGCTTTAAACGACTAGTCAATTAAGTATTAAGTAGATTAAAGCGTGTGACGGAACGCTTACCATAACTACTATGCCACGGCTGTTCCTCCCAAAATGATGTCAAATATTACGCGTGGCAGCTTGACATTCAGTGGTGGTACATGTACTCATGTCTGGGCTCCAGGACTCACCACATGGGCTACCTGTAACAGACTATGACAAAGCGGATTATTTAAATATCAAGATCTTTTCTAAAAAGATCGAAAAAGAGTTCGTGAATTTTTTTTCTTCTTAACATTAATAGATGCGTTATTGAATTTAGGTTTATTTGCCATTAACGATAATAACGGTAATTTTAGCTTAATGATGAGTCTGTAAGTAATTATTAAAAGATTTAGTACAATAAGAGTATTAAAAGTTTAAATAGTTTTTTTGGGCTAGCTTTAAATTGATTAATAAAGGCGCCTTTTACATATATTAAAGATTATCGATAAGCCTTAAGTTCTTTAAATCTTAAATTAATAGAAATAACTTTATAAAAAAGGTTAACGTAGGTCACAAGCGAGCGGCAATTACAAGCGAACGGCAACTTTTCACCAATCTTCTAACCAACATGTCAAATAACTCGACCACAACGCATTTAATTCAATCTAATCAATCGGATTCTTCTTCTTCAGACGTTTCTATCTCTATTGTACAAGTTCGCGCATTATGGCCAGTGTTGCCGCAAACGCCACAACGTCGCTCACGCGCTGCCGCCCTCCTTGGACGACGACTACCTTCACCCATTTCCTGTCTTGCCAGCTCACCACCATCCTTTACAGCCTGGAGACCTACTGCATTTTCAACGGAAAGTACTCCTCCTTTCACTAGACGTTTGTTTTTTGTCCTCCGGCGTTTACTTAGTAGGTGATTGGCCTCCTCTAGCTCGCGGACCCGGGAATCAACCAAAGCGACCTTGTGCATAAGACCGTATGTAGCCTTTGAAAACGAGCTCAACGCATCAATTATTGATGTAGGTGAGCTTCCCTGGTGGTTTCTGACTCGATTTCGGATATGAACCGATTGGTTGACCGCTTTGTTGATAGTGGTAGGCGTCTTCGAAGTCCAAGTAGTGGGTGGCAGATTGGCGTCTGGCGACGGTGTTCGTACGACAGCGACAGCATCCAGTTTCGAAATGACA